TTCCCCGGCGAACCTATGCCCAAATTTGCATTTGAGCATCCAAGATGTTGAAATTAATGCTCATTTTTAGTTATTGAATTGTTATACATATTAAACACTTTTAGCTTTATTTAATTGAATAAATGATAACACCGTGTTTTTTCAGCCAAGTCTACCACGATCTCCTCCGATCCGAGGAGGAATTTGTTGGTGAGCTCCGGGCGGCCGTCGATCACTATGTTCGGGTAGGTGAAATCTGAATTTCGAAAGGCAGGCTAGCAGAGATCGTTGAGGAAGCAAAGGCAGGCTAGCAGAGAAGATTGAGGAGAAGAGGGCAGGCTCGCAGAGATCAGTGAGGAACCCAGGACAGAATAGCAGAGATCTTGAGGAAAACACCTAATATTTTCAGGCTCTCGATTCTCCATCGGTTCCGGAAGCCATCCGCGCCAACCGTGAGCAGTTATCGCTCAACCTGGCCGAGCTGTACAACTTCCACGCCAAGTTGGTCATCTCTCTCTCCCTCCCTCCCTCTCTCTCTCCCTCTCTCTCTCTCTCTCTCTCTCTCTCTCTCTCTCCCTCTCTCTTGCCTCGACCCCCATTTCCAGCGTGATGCTAAAAGGTCTCCAATACTACGGCGACGATCCCGGCAAGGTCGGGCAGACGTTCGTCCGTCTCGAAGGGGATTTTGACCACCATGTCCAGTTCTACAAACAACTCCCGCAGGCGCTTGACCTCCTTGAAGTCGAGCCATATGCTTCATTCTTTCAGGTATGCCGTATGTTCTATCATTAATGCGCGTTTCAGAAACTGTCCGATCGCTCCGAGGCTGGTAGCCGCTCTTTTGCCGATCATCTGGCAGCCGTGGCTGATCGAATGACGCACTATCAGAATTATTTCCGGGTTAGTACTATCTACAGTATTCTGTAGTTACCATAGCATTTACGGTACCCTATATATTCCAGGAATTCGTGAAATACTCCTCGCGACTCGGCGTCTCCACCAAGGGCATGCAGAGAGCGCTCGAGCTCTGTCTCTCCGTCCCCCAGAGAGTATCAGGTATGCTAGCAGAGATTCTTTGAGAAGGGCAGGGTGGCAGAGATCCTTCAGGAGCCTTTAAAAGTCTAATTTTAGGAAAAAAAAAAAAAAAAGAAAAAAAAAAAAAATTTTTTAATTTTTTTTTTTTTATTTTTTTTTTTATTTTTTTTTTAATTTTTTTTTTTTTTTTTTTTTTCCCCCTCCCCTCTTTTTTTTTTTTTATATATAAATTTTTTTTTCAAAAAAATTTTTTTCCCCCTTTTTTCCTCCTTTTTTTTTTTTTTTTTTTTTTTTTTTTTTTTTTTTTTTTTTTTTTTTTTTTTTTTTTTTTTTTTTTTTTTTTTTTTTTTTTTTTTTTTTTTTTTTTTTTTTTTTTTTTTTTTTTTTTTTTTTTTATTATTTTTTTTTTTCTCCCCCCCCCTTTTTCCTTTTTTCCCCCCTTTTTTTTTTTTTTTTTTTTTTTTTTTTTTTTTTTTTTTTTTTTTTTTTTTTTTTTTTTTTTTTTTTTTTTTTTTTTTTTTTTTCCATCTTTTTTTTTTTTTTTTTTTAAAATTAAAAAAAAATTTTTTTTAAAAATTTATTTTCCCCCCCCCCCCTTTTTTTTTCCCCCCCTTTTTTTTTTTCTTTTTTTTTTTTTTTTAAAATTTTTTTTTTTTTTTTTTTTTTTTTTAATTTTTTTTTTTTTTTTTTTTTTTTTTCCCCCCCCCTTCAAAAAAACAAAAAAAAAAAAAAAAAAAAAAATAAATTATTTAAAAAAAAAACCCCCCCCTTTTTTTTCCCCCCCCTTTTTTTTTTTTTCCCTAATTTCAGACCTCGACTTCCTGGAGAACATCACCGGCTACCCGGGCGACCCGCTGAAGCTCGGACGAATTATACGACACGTAGGTTTTTGGGGGTTAAAGGGACTCAGCAGGTAAAGCCTAAGTTAAGCCTAAACCCCAAAAAGCGTAAAGCTTAAACCCAAACCTAAGCCAAGCTTGGGCCCTAAGCCAATGCTAAGCCAAAGCTAAGCTAATCCCCAGCATCAGCCTAAGCTAAACTAAGCCAAAGCCTAAGCCTGAGCCTCACCTAAAGCTAATCGTAAGCCCAAGCCCAAGCCTAAGCCTAATCTAAACCTAAGCCTAAACCAAGCCTAATCCTAATCCTAACCTACCTCTAAGCCTAGCCTAACCCTAAGATAACCCTAAGCCTAAGCCTAAGCCTAAGCCCAACCTTTCAGGACTCATTCCTTGTCTCCGAAGGCGACGAAACGACAACCGAGCGACGACACGCCTTCCTCTTCCGGAATAAGCTGATGCTCACCACGAAAATCGAAGGATCACCAACGAAATATGAGCATATCGCATCGTTGAGGGTTAGTAGTACTGTACGATACTGTAGTTACCGTATCTACCGTATCTACCCCTTAATCTTTTAGCTCGACAAGTATACGGCCCGGAAGTATGGTGCTGATGAGGATACGATTCACTTTAAGCCCTCCGAGTTGGGGTTGCCGACATTTAGGTAAGGGATTTGCAGAGATCAGAGATCATTTGAGATTTTTGACACTATTTGACAAAGTTCAGGCTCAAATCGGAGGACCCAGGCGGCGAGTACGTCGTGAAGGCGTGGCTGAAGGATGTGGAGCTCGACCGCGAGGAGTACGGTAAGTCAGGGGCAAGACATCACTGGAATATCGCGAAAAGTTCAAAAAATAACAGTTTTTAAATGGACTACGGTGAGTATCAGCACGGGATACGATTTTTGGTTTTAAAGGAACTGTGAAGGCAGAAGCGGGCCAGGCTAGCAGGCAGTCATTGAGGAATCGAGGGCAGGCTAGCAGAGATCATTGAGGAAGCGAGGGCAGGCTAGCAGAGATCATTGAGGAAGCGAGGGCAGGCTAGCAGAGATCATTGAGGAAGCTGATTCTGCCTTCCCGGTCCCTTTAAAACTCGATCTCGTCCCTCTTTTTTCGAGAAAGTCAAGTCAGCGTGGCTATCTCTAGGCTAGAAAGGGGGCTAGGGGTTTTATTTGCCTTCCACTTGTTCCCATTCCCTCACAGTCTCATCGCGTGGGCATATCCGACCGCTGGAGACACCCGTCCACAGGAACCGCGCGTAGGCATCGGCGCTGAAAAAGCGGAAAATGGATCAAAAACACAAACACACAAAAATTGGTGTGTCTGTCTGTTTGCCTGTGCATTAATTGGTTTGGTTTTTGAACCCGGAGGCAGGCTAGCAGAGATTCTTTGAGGAAGGGTAGGCTAGCAGAGATTCTTTGGGGAAGGGCAGGCTAGCAGAGAGTCCTTTGAGGAAGGGCAGGCTAGCCGAGACCATTTAGGAATTTAACTCGTTACCACCCCAATTACTACTCTAATAATGATACAACCCCTTTCATGCCCTGCCAGAGATTTGAGGGTGTCCCCCCACGGGTTGCACAAGAGCCTCTGCTCCTCCGACAGTGAATCGCCCCCGTTGCCTCTGCGTAGAGAGAGAGAGAGAGCGGAGAGAGAGAGAGAGAGAGAGAGAGAGAGAGAGAGAGAAGGCGAGAGATAGAGAGTGAGTCGTCAGTCCCGGGGTGTGGGGGCTGTGTAATGGGGGCCCTAGGACAAGCCCCGATCTCTCGCCCCGCTCCCCCATCTCCAGCCGGGCCAACCAGCCTTGTGGCCCAGGCTTAGGGCCCTAGGGATGACCCCGGGTGCACTAGTGTTGTTATACACACCATTAAAGTATTTTTTAATTGGTTACGTCATTATCTACCCTGATTATCTTTTTTGCTGATTTTCGGTCCATTTCGGCCTCTCTCTCTCCTCTTCGCTCTCTTTCGCTCGCTCACTCTTTCTCTCGCGCTCTCTCGACTCTCTCTCTATCTCTCGTTCTCTCTCTCGCATTCTCTCCCAACCCTTTAAAGGGACCGGCAAGGCATCTTTGTGCCCTCTGCGCAACCTCTGAGTTCCCAGTCCCTTTAACTTTTGTATTTTCTCGTTAAAATCCATAGGCTTTGACGTGCCGATTCCTTTAACGTTGGCAAAAATCATAAATAGCGGAAAAACTAAAATTAAAAATACCGAAAACTCGAAAAAAGTTTGTTTTGGAAAATTGGAAAAAACCGATATTTTTTTTGAAAAATCGGCATTTTTAAATTTTGCATTTTACGGTATAAGGTTTAATTCAACATGCTTAATGCAGAATTCAAAAAAATTTAATTTCTTTATATTCGTGGTTTTAGCGAGCGCTGGAAGCCGGTCAATTCGACCTAACCCAAGCCAATTTTCTGTTCAGGGGCCGGCAAAGCATGTTTTAGGAAGTTTTACCCGCTTTTGATTGCGTGATCGATCAAGGTTCTCCAAACTTCGAATTTTTGCTTTTTTGCACCAGCATCTTACCGGAATGTTGCCGGCAAAGATGCCCCTTTGGCTGGGCGGTGGATCGGCAAACATTGTGAGTCAGTGACGCCTCCACCTTTTCCCGCATATCCAATCGATAATTGGGGGATAGTTAGGGGGCAAAAAAAAGTCGAAAATTAAGCCTGAGCTTAAGCCTAAGCTAAGCCTAAGCTAAGCCTAAGCCTAAGCCTAAGCTAAGCCTAAGCTAAGCCTAAGCTAAGCCTAAGCCAAGCCTAGATAAGCACAAGCTAAGCAAAGCAGAAAATAAGCCTAAGCCTAAGCCTGAGCCAAAGCCTAACTTAAGTCTAAGCCTCTCGTTCCCACTATGTCTCTCTCTGTCTCTCTTTCACTCCCTATCTCTCGCACTCTCTCTTTATCTCTCTATCTCTCTCTCCCTCCCTCGCTCTCTCTCTCTCTCTCTCTCTACCTCGCATCATTTCTATCACTCTCTATCTCTCGATTTCTAGCTTTTCGATGGCTCGGTCTCACGAATTTTTGACCTCTCTCGCTCTCTCTCCCCTCCAATCCCCCTCCTCTAGGTATACCCGGTAGTGTGAGTGTCATCCGGGGGATGAGGTGAGCACCACCCACAACAGAGCCCGCAGAGAAACACATCCAAAAAATGGTGCTCGTCACCCTCTACATAATCGAGCTTCGCGATGCCGAAGAGGGCGGGCTCGAGCTCGTCGACCCGTCATGGTGTAAGTAGTATTGTATTGTTGTGTTTGCAGTATCGTCTCGGAGTACGACAACTCGTACCACATCAGAGGGGGATGGGCTGGTGGGCCCAGGTGGGGGCCAAGGAGGCCCATCTTCCTCTGATTGGAGATCCGAGTTTTCTGAGAGATCGAGCCCCGTTTCGAGACGATCATCGGCTGCATTTGGTAGAAATGATGTCGTTGTCCCTGTCCAACTTGTCCAAACTGTCAATTTGTAGTTTGGAGCCTGGCGCAGTCGATGTTATAACATCGAAACTTTTCGCAAAAAATGCCGACAAATTGGATTTAATCTAGGCAAACTAGCATCGATTCTTTGCGGAATTTTCAGGGGCAGGATAGCAGAGGTTCTTTGAGAAATTCGATGGCAAGTTTGCAGCACTTTTATGGAATTCTAGGAACAGGCTAGCAGAGATTCTTTGCGGAAATTCCAGGATGGTCTTGGCTAATTTCTTTGGGAAATTTACGCGGCATGCTAGCAGAGATTCTTTGAGGGATTCAAGGAGGCAGGCTAGCAGAGATTTTTAAAACCCGCCAAGCACGCGCAGCACACTTTTTTGAATTTTTTAAAAAAATTTTTAAATAAATTTTTTTAAAATCAAATAAAAAATTAATGTCTTTGCCAAAATCGGTGTGGTACATGTCGAGTGTATTTGTTAATAAGCCAAGGCATACAAAAATCAATTTTGTTTTTCAGGCCCGGAAGAGGGTCCCCCACGGAAGAAGGTCAAGTCACCGCCGGCCATTTCCCCCACTGGCTCTTCCGCTTCCCTCTATTCCGGCGCCTCATCCAGCATCGACTGGAGTAAGTTCTTTTGGGTTAAAAAACTATAAACTACAAACTATTCGGCTTAACGAGTTAAAATCAATTGTTTAGTAGCTCTGCACCATTAAATATTCTTGATTTTCGTAGGATTTCCCTTGTCGATTTTGCTCGTTGAAAGTGACTATTGGGCTCTACGAATCAAAAACATTTCGAATTGTTTATAGTAGTGTTCCGTTTTGCCCCGAACGACCTATCAAAATGTCACTTTTTATTGGAGCTCGCCGGGGGAGTCCAATGGAACATCTGGGGCAAATTTCGGCTTACTCTGTCTGTCTGTCCATGTATCGCTCTCTCTCGCTTTCTCTCTCTCTCTCTCTCTCGTTCTCTTACTATTGGTCTCGTTCTCTAGCTCACTAAAATTGAAAAAGAGCGTGGCAGACTAAACTGCAGAGAGAGAAAGAGATACAAAAAGCGAGAGAGAGAGAGAGGCAGAGAGAGAGCAAGCGAGTGATAATGAGAGAGTCAGGCGAGAGCGAGAGAACGTGAGAGAGAGCGAAAAGCGCGAGAATTGTAGTGCTAAAATTGCATATCGTAATCCGTCCTGTCACGCTCCCTTTAAACCCGATTCCGAACGCTTCCGGGGCATTCCTGGGGTTCCATGCCTCCCAGAACGTATGTGTATTTGTGAGAGCCAGCGGTTGATGGTTGTTTCTGGGGCGTCAGTTGGTCGAAAAGAGAGAGAGAGAGAGAGAGAGAGAGAGAGAGAGAGAGAGAAAAAAAAAAAAAAAAAAAAAAAAGAAAAAAAAAACCACCTCCCCATCCACCACCTACACCTCGACCCGTGGCCCGGCCAAAAATGGATTGCATTCCGGGGGTCGGAATTCAAAAAAATTTGAAGCGGAAGCGGAAAAAACCATTTTAAAGGAACAGTGACAGCTAGCTAGCTTTTAAAGAGACAAAGAAAATTAAACATTTTTCAGCCACGACGGGCACAACGCTGGAGATGCAGGGTACGCGCGTGACGCGTACACAGTACGGATTCCGCACGCTGCAACAGTCGGCCGCTAAGATGTGCCTGAAAGTGACCGGGTACCCCCTCCCGGACATTACATGGTAGGGTTTTTTTGTGAAGAGGGGGGGGAAAGGAAGTTTTTTTTTGGGGGGGAGGGGAAGGATAGTTTTTTTTTGGGGAGGGGGGGGCGGGGGAAATTTTTTTGAGGAAGGGCAGGCTAGCAGAGATTCTTTGAGGAAGGGCAGGCTAGCAGAGATTCTTTGAGGAAGGGCAGGCTAGGGAAAAAAATTTTTATGAGAATGGGGAGGACAAAAAATATTTTAGAAGAGGGAGGGAAAAGAAAAATTTTTTTTTAAAAAAAGAAGGCTAGCAGAGCTACTTTGCGTCTTTACGACATCCCAAAATACCGGTTTTAGGTACAAAGACGACGTACTCCTCCACGAGGACGAGCGGCACACGTTCTACGCCGACGACGACGGCTTCTTCGCGATGACCATCGACCCGGTGCACGTATGTTCATCAACAGCTGGTTGAGAGATGATTGTTTCAGGTCGACGACACCGGCAGGTACACATGCATGGCCACCAACGAGTACGGCCAGGCGTCCACTTCGGCCTTTTTCCGGGTCCTGAAGGTAAGCCTAAGCCTAAGCCCAAGCCTAACCTCTTTCAGGTGGAGAAGGAGGCAGCTCCCCCGGCCTTCGTCTCCTCCCTGCGGGACCAGGAGTGCAAGGAGGGCGAGACGATCGCCTTCGAATGCGAGGTAAGCGAATCTCTCCCTCTCTCTCTCTCTCTCTCTCGCTCTCTCTCGTTCTCTCGTCGCTCAATAAACATCTCATTCTTTTAGGTGGAAGGCTGGCCGGAGCCTGAACTGCTCTGGCTCGTCGATGACCAACCCCTGAGGCCATCCGCCGATTTCAAGCTCCAATATGACGGCCAGAACGCGAGGCTCGAGATCCGCGACGCGCAGCCGGACGATACTGGTATGTTCAGAGAGTGAGGGCTAGCTAGCCAAGATTTTTGGGGAATGTTTTTGGCGGGGCAGACTAGCAGAAACCCCTTGAGGATTATATTTTAGGCGTCTACTGTGTCCGGATCCAGAACGAGCATGGCAGCCAGGAGTCGAAGGCCAACCTCGCCGTCCAGGCCGACCCCGACAAGAATCACGTGCCACCAGAGTTCCAGGTAAGTCAGAGCCTAGGCCTAAGCCTAGCCTAAGATTGAGCCTCTAAGCTTAAGTCTAGCCTAAACGAATCGATACCTTTACAGGCCGTAATCGAAGACGTCGAATGCCGTGAAGGTGATGAGGTCCGATTCAAGGCCGTCTACACCGGCGACCCGAACCCGGAAATCCAATGGACGATCAATGGCATTCCGATCACGGAGAGCGAGAAGATCAGGCATGTCAATTAATGTGCTCATGCTCAAATTCATTCTCAAGCATCAGCTCATGCTCAAAATTTTCAGAATGATCTCCGAGGACGGAATTTGCATCCTGACCATCAAGGACGTCACCAGACATTTTGACGGCATCGTCACCTGCCAGGTACGATTTAACGGGCTTTCAAGGAGGCTGCCGGTATGAAAAGCGAAAGCTTAACCTAAGCCTAAGCTGAGCTTAAGCTAAGCCCTGGCCCAAGCCTAAGCCCAAGCATAAACCTATTTTCTAGGCAAACAATCGACTCGGCACCGCCAACTGTGACGCTCGACTTCGGGTCCGTGTTCCCCCAACACCGCCCACGTTCAGCACGCCGCTCGAGGACAAAGTAAGTCACTAGTTATTGTGTTTTTTGTGGTTTGTAGCCTGTCGTTTGTTTTTTATTATGGAATCTTGCATCTTCTAGCAAAGACCATTAGGGAATTCGGTCCTACTTTGTCGTGTATTATGTCCATCGTCCAGTCCCGTCCATTTTCAGGCCAAGACCCTCCGCCAGACGAAGCTCAAATGGGTCAGTTGTCCCGCGCGACGTCATCTATGTTTTTTGTGGAATTGTGAATGGGACACGGTAGAATACCCAATTTTTAGATTACCCAAGAAAAATGCGTGGTCACCTTCGAAGTAGAGGTGGCCGGATTCCCCGACCCGACGATCGAGTTCAAGCTCAAGGGAAAGACGGTGGGTGGAGTACAAGCAGACTAAGCCAAAAATAAGCCTAAGCCTAGGCGCAAGCCTAAACCTAAGCCTAAGTCAAATTCTAAGCCTAATACTAAGCCTAAACCTAAGCTTCAGTCTAAGCTTAAGCCCAAGCTTAAGTCAACCCTGCGCCTACGCCTAAGCCTAATCCTAAGCCCAAGCCTAAGCTCCAGGTCAAGCCTTAGCCTAAGCCTAAGCCAAAGCTCAAGCCGGAGCCTAAGCCTAAGCCTAACCTAATCCAACCCAAGCCAAGCCCAAGCCAAGCGTTAGCCTAAGCCTAATCCTAAACCTTTCCAGCTCCGCCACGGCGAGAACGGCGTGGAAATCGTGGGAGGTGATGGCTGCTACAGGCTCACCATCGCCAACTGCTCCATGGATGAGCACGACGGGGAGCTGGTGTGTACGGTAGGTCGCCAGGAGGGTACGGTTGATGAATTCTATAGGCTCGAAACGAGCACGGACAAGCCGAATCTCGCTGTCGCCTTTCGGTGGAGCCGCAGGAGGACGACTCAGTGTCGGCTCCGACTTTCTTGAAGGACATTGAGGATCAGGTGCGTTGAACTGCTTGAACATGATGTCGAAGATCAACGTTGCAAAACACCTGTAGGCGATGAAAACTGCGAAAATCCTTAAAAATTCATAGCCAAAAATCCATAGTCATGCCTTGCCGGGCCCTTTAAAGCCGCAAAAATCCAAAATTCCCCAAAAATCAATGCCAACCCCCGTAACCTGACCTCTGATCCCTTGCCAGCTGATGGCTAGCCTGAACTTGTCGAGCACCCCGGGGCCACACTTAGCTCACCTTAACCTCATGCCCCCCAGCTCAAGCTCCCCCTCCTCCTCCCCTCATGTTTGCGTTGGCGGAGGGACAGTTGTTGCTCTCTGCCCAATCCTCCTCCTCCCCTATTGCCTCAAGGGCCCACCCAGCCGTTTTTCCACCTTTTAGCCGATGGATCCCCACAACATGGGGCTCCTCCCGGCTGGGACCTTTGACACCGGGCGGCCCCTGCTATTCCACCCGCTTTTTATCGATTTCCACACCTAGTGGAGGGGGATGGATTAATTTAGTTTTTTTTTTTTGAGGTTTGATTAGTTACATACTTTTGGCTACTTAGAGCCGCGCCGCTCCCCCGCGCTCCTTTGTTCTCATTTAGCTCATTCTAGCCTCCCCCCCGGCTTTTTCGCGCTCCCCGGTTGCGGGGTTATTTCCTCCCCAATGATCTCTGCTAGCTTTCCTTTCCCTTAAGTAGCTTCATAATTCTGGAAATTCGTCAAAAACCTAGGAAGCCGTAGTCCCGACAGCTAAAAAACCGACAAATCTCGACAGTCAAAATCCCGATGGCTAGAATACAGACAACCATAATCCCGACATCCCAAATCCCGACAATAAAAATAACGACAACCAAAACCCCGACGGCCATAATAGCGGAATGTTGCAATCAAATAATTGGCATTCAGACTAGCATCAAAAATATTTTGGATTTTTGACGGCGGTATTTCCGCTGTCGGCATTTAGGCCAGTCAGAATTCTGGGGCTGCGGATTTTTGCCATATTTCCTGCCTCCTGAATTTACCTATCGCTATTCTGGGCGGGGGCAGGATTTTCGGTGTCGGGATTTTCGCCCGTTTCCGGCACAATTTTCGCTTCTGGGGATTCTGGCTTGTCGGGATTTTTGCTGTCGCTATTTAGGCCCGTTAGGAATTTGCCTGTCGGCATTTTCACTTTCCCTTCCTCCATTTTGGATCGCGGGATTTCGACTTGTCGAGATTTCGGGAGTGTCGGTTTTCCTCCTTGTCGTCGGGGTTTTGGCCTTCCGGGATTTGGACTGTCGCTATTTTCAATGTCGGCATTCTGCCTGGAATTCTACCAAACCTTACCGTCCACTTTCAGACCGTCAAAGAGGGCCAAGAGGCCATCTTCGAGACCACCGTCCGCGGGAACCCCAACCCGGAAGTTTCATGGTATATCAACGGCCATAAGGTATCTTAAGCCCCAGATCTCTCAAGATCTCCCCCTTCAGATGGACGGCTCGACACCGGGCGTGAAGATCAACGTCAGCGGCCAGGACCACAAGATCATCATCGACAGCGCGAGCTATGCTGGAACGATTTTGTGCAGGGCCGAGAACTCGATCGGTCGCTTCGAGACCAAGGCGAAACTTGTCGTGCTGCCGGTGGAGAAGCCGAAGAAGGCACCAGTGTTCAGACAAGGACTCGTAGATGAGACTGTCGTTGAGGGTGCATCTGTCGTTTTTGAAGTTGCTGTCGATGGAGAGCCGAAGCCGACTCTTGCTTTTACGCTGAATGGAAAGGCACTACAGGAGGGACAGGTAGGGTTTGGGTGATGCGCTATTTTGGCTATATCTCGAGGTAGGAGCATCGGATTTTAATGATTTTTATAGCAATCGAAAGCTTTTAAAGGAGTAATAGAATTACAGCATTAAAGGTACTTTTTTTAGCATAATTTACAGCATTTTCATTTTTGCTTTACCAAAATTTTGCTTTCCACCCCGTTTAAAAAGTTCGAATTTCGATAAAATTCGCTAAATTGGCAAAACTATAAAACATTGGGTTTTATACGGCTTTTCAACGCTATAAAAATCATACTGATCCGGTACTTCTCCTTCGAAATACGGTGTTTTTTCTAAGCGGTCAATGCAAGGTGTAACCCTGAGCCTTCTAGCTTAAGCCTGGCTGCCAAGCCTAAGCCCAAGCCTAAGCCTAGGCCTAAACCTAAACCTAAGCCTAATCCTAAGCCTAAACTAAACCTCATCTACACAAAAACTTACATCTTTTCAGAATGTCCGCCTCCGCGAGTTCGACGGTCAATGGAAGCTCGAGCTCCTGAACATCAAGCTAGAAGAGGCCGGTGAGCTCGTCGCTACCGCCACCAACTCCCAGGGCCAAGCCACCTCCACATCAAGGCTCAACGTCGGCAGGTACCTGAGAATCAGTAGTTGAACAAACCAAATTTCTTTTGCAGGAAGCCGTTCGCCCCCAGATTCAGCCAGACACCCAAGAGCCTGACTGTCACTGAAGGGGAAGAGGCTGTATTTACGGCAAAGGCTGATGGTCAGCCACTTCCCACGTATCTTTGGAGTGTTGATGGGCGGAAGGTAACGGAATTATCGTTAAGCCAGGGATACTTTGCTACTTAGCTGTTAGCGGGGGCGGAGTAATTTTAGAAGAGAAAAAGTCACTTTTGTTTTCTCGTCTTTGTTTTCTATTTTTTTTGCTAAAGTTTTAGGATAGTTTTTCTAGTTAAAGCATAGTTATATTTTACTAAAAATACTATTAAAATACTCCGATTACGTTTACTAAACATAGCTAGACTTAAACAAGTCTATCCCCCCCGATAATGCAAAAGAACCAAAATTCCTAATTTAACTTGTTAGGTCCGCGAAAGCGGCTGGGAAGGTGTACGCGTCGAAACTGTCGACGGCGTCTCCACCCTGCGCATCGACACCAAGCAGCACACCTTCAGCTCCACGATCTCGGTGTTGGCCGAGAATTCGGTCGGGAATGATGAGAGTGGAGCTCGATTGGTTGTCGAGAAGAAGGTGATTACGATATCTCTCTCTCGCTCTCTATCTCTTTCTCTCTCGCTCTCTCCCTCGCTCTCACTCGCTCTCTCTCTCTCGCTCTCTCTGGTCTAAAAAATCCCTTTTATACACCGTTTGTCGCGCGCTTTAACCTCACCAGCTACCACTAAATGCTTCACGAGCACCACCTCTGTATTCTGGAGCACCATGTCGTGTAGGTTGATGCTCACACAATCACCCAGCACGAGGAGAAGCGCCTGGAGACGACAACCACCATTAAGGTCACACAGGTTCGAGCTAAATTCCCAGTTTTATGTAGCTAGAATAAGCTCAGTTTTTGGTAGCTTTTGGGAAAAAACGTTTTTCCCGCTTTATCTCGACTTAGGAGGATCGAATCGGAATGATTTTCTTGGCATTCGAAAGCTCTTTATAAGCACAACAAAATTATGTATTTAAATTGTAAATTTATGACTGAATCTAGGAATCTTTTTCCAACAAAAAGCGTGTTCTAATTTCAATGGTGATTTTTCAAGGATATGGTTTTTGCGAAATCCGACTTTTCGAAATTCTGAATTTTCGGCATTTTGACACTTCAAAACGCTGACGTTTATTGGAAAAAATGAATTTTCGCGAGAAACTGGTGGCGTAAATGGCGATTTTTAACAATTTAGCGAATAACTAAGTTTTTCTAGTTGTTTAGCGTTAAAAAGAAACTAAGAGATTTTTTAAAATATGAAAATACGATCATTATGTTCCGCTTTTTAAGAGCTTTCGATTGTTATAAAAATCATCCTGATCCGATTCTCCTACGTCGAGATAGCCAGAAGTTTATACCGCACCAATGCACCTAACCTATCACCCAGAGTGTCATCATTTCCAGAGCCCTATCACCGAGACGACGACCGAAACTCGGACCACCTTCGACAGTGAGGGGAGGGAGACCGGCCGGGAAACGAGTGTACGTACCGAACTCGTCGGGCAGGAGACGTCGCACATCTCCACGAAAACGACTACGGAGCACGAGGCGTCCGACAGCGCTACACGGCTCAGCCAGCAGGCTGTGAGTCCGCATGCAACACTTGCACTTTAATCTATTCTCTTTCTTGAGACTTCGGGTCGTGGTAGGGTTTTATAGCGTAGAATGTTCAAATAATGTTCATTGTAGAATACGTAAAGCCTAAGCCTGAGCCTATGTCTAAACCGAAGCCTAAGCTAAGCTTAAGCCGAAACCGAGGCAGAAGCCCAAGCCTATGCCTAACCTGGGGGGTCGCGGGGGGGGGGGGGGGGCCGGGGGTCGGCGGGGTGGGGGGTGAGTTTGGGGGGGGTGGATAAATTAAGGAAAGTTAAATTAAAACCCCAAAAAAGCCCAAAATAAGTTTTTTTAAATATTAAAAAATTTTTTGTAAAAAAATTTTGAAAAAATTTTTTTTTTTTAAAAAAATTTAAAAATAAATAAATTTTTAAAAAATTTTTTATTTTTTTTTTTTTTTTTAAAATTTTTTTTTTTTTTTTTTTTTTAATTTTTTTAATTTTTTATTTTTTTTTTGAAAATAAATTATTTTTTTTTTTTAATTTTTTTTTTATTTTTAATAATTTTTTTTTTTTTTTTTATTTTTTTTTTAATTTTTTTTTTTAAATAAATTAAATTTTGGGGTTTTTGGTTGTTTTTATTTTTTTATTTTTTTTAAAAAAGATTTTTAAAAAAAAAAAATTTATTAAAAAAAAAAAAAAAAAATTCAAAAAAAGTTGGTTTGTCCCAAAAAACCCACAAATAAAAATTTTTTTTTTTTTTTTTAAAAAAAAAAAAAAACCTACCAATCTCGATCTCCCTGTCCGTGTCCATGTCCTCCTTCACGTCGTCGTCCTTTTTAGGATGGTTCCGGTCCATACCCGCCGCCACCCAGCGATGGACATCAAACTACACGCCAAACAGAAATCCGAGTCGAAAATTATGAAGAAACTACCACCACCACCAGCGAGCAGACCGAAGAAACGACCGAGACCTCATCGACCACCACCACCATCTCCAAGCCCAAAAAGAAGAAGCTCAACGGGGTCAAGAAGGCCAACGGCAGCTCCGATTTGGAAGCCTCGAGCCGGGAAGCCAGCTTCGATCGCCAGCTCTCCACCACCTCCTCGGGTTCTTCGATCCGTTCCGCCTTGGCGAAGTCGCCGTCGCAGAACGGTAGTCGCAAGAATGTCCGCTTTGTGAGTGTTCTTTGTATTGGTTCCATGTCGTTCGTTCTGTGCCTAGCGTCCTCGTACTTGTTGAACTTGACGGTCCAAAATCCGTAAAATCCATTTCCGAGCCATAGAAACTAAATCCCGTTCCATGTTTGGCAATTCAGCTTTTACACAACTCCTTTAGGCTGATGCTCCACGCGTCACGCGCGCGTTGCGGCCGCAGAACGTCGGCAAGGGTGACCTCGCGCATTATGAGGCTGTTATCGAGAATGCCGCATCGGTCGCGTGGACCCATAATGGACAGCCGCTGACGAATGGAGCACCAGGTAAGCGAAAGCCAAGCCTGAGCCTAAGCTGAAGCTTAAGCTTAACCCTAAGGCGAAGCGTATGCCTTGGCAGAATCCTAAGCCAAAGCCTAAGCCGAAGCCTAAGCCAAGCCTAGGGCTATGCCTAAGCTCAGCCTAAGCCTAAGCCTGATCCTGAGCCTAAGCCTAAGCTAAGCCTAAGTCAAAGCCAAGCCTAAGCCTAAGCCGAAGCCGAAGCTTAAGCCTAAGCCTACCCCAAATCAATCGCTCCTTTCCAGGTGTCAAAATCTCACAAGACGACAAATTCGAGTTCCGCCTGTCGCTTGACACAGCCATCTTCGGGCCTGGAACAGTCCAAGTCGTTGGCCAGAACCCGGGCGGACAAGCTGAATCCTCGGCCGATCTTGGCGTCACTGAACCCCCTAAGGAGACGAAGAAGCCCGAGTTCACCGACAAGCTCACCGACATTGCCGTCACGCGTGGGCAGCCCTTCCAGGTGGACGTCATCGCGCTGAATGGCCCCGAGTTCAAGTGGACCCTGAATGGGACGCCGATGCAGGTTCGTGGTTCATAAAGCGTTAGAACGTCTTTTTAAAGCGTAGCTAGTTCTAGATGCCACAAAAGCTCTTGAAAAGACAAAAACACAGCGTTATAAATTTCAACACTTCCGGAAATTGTCAAAAACGGATAGTTTTCCTAATTTAATTCGAGGTAGTTGTATCTGATTGGAATGATTTTTATACCATTCGAAAGCTCTTGAAAAGGCAAACAAATTAGAATCCTTAAATATATGCTTTAGTTAATTAAGGGCAAGAAAAATCATGAAAATAAAAACTCGCACGGCGTATAGCTATAGTAAAACATTAAAAGTCTGTTAAAATTTCAGCAATACAAACTCGCGTCCTACAACTCGATAGATCTCACCAAGAGCTTTTGATTGGTGTAAAAACCATTACGTTTCGATACTCCTACGTCGAGTTAGCGTTGAAAGCGTACCAGCCTGCTACGATGTGCCGTCCATTCTATTGCGTAAACAATTAATGTACAAATTTTTAGGACGGCAAAAACGGCGTCCACATTGCCCAGGATGGCAACAAGGGCACGCTGAAGGTCGATGCCGCTGATGATAGCCATCGCGGCACCGTCACCGTACAAGCCAGCAATGAAGTCGGAACTGCCGAGAGTTCCGCGACAATCCAGGTGCCCAAAAATCAAATTTTTACCCTCATTTCAGGTAAATGAGCCGGCCAAGGCCCCGCAGATCAGCGACGGCCCCTACAGCACGACCGTCAAGGAGCACGAGCAGGCCAAGTTCAGCGTCACCATCACCGGCACCCCAGCACCCACTGTCAAGTGGTTGTTGAACGAGAAGGTCATCGAACAGACATCCACGATCACGACAACGAGCTCCGGGACCGAGTATTCCCTGACCTTCTCGGACTCGCAGCTCTCACACTCGGGCTCCATCAAGGTGACCGCGCAGAATTCTGCCGGCATGGACGAGAAGCAAGCGTCCCTTACGGTCCAGCCAGGATTCAGCAAGCCCACTATCACCTCCAAATTGAACGACACTTCCGCAGAAGAGGATTCCCCCGTCCGCTTCGAGGTTCAACTGGATAAGCCCCAGCCTGGCACCTCAGTCAAGTGGTACCTTAACGGAAATGAGCTGAAGAACGGTGGACCGGTGCAGATTGTCGACCACGGCGATGGCACCTACCATCTAACCCTGGCCCAACCTAAACCGGATATGACCGGAAAGCTGACCGTAAAGGTCGAAAACCCGGCCGGAAGCGATGAACAATCAGCCCAACTTACAGTTGGTGGCAGCAAGAAGAAGCCGGTCTTTGAAAAATCCCCTCAGAACCACGATGCCTTTGTTGACGACGAGAGCGTCAAGTTCTCGGCCATTGTCCATGGTACACCGACCCCAACGGTGACCTGGTCCCTCAACGGCCAGAAGCTGGTTAATGGAGATGACGTCAAAGTCAAGCATGAACCGGAAACCGGCAAGACTTCCATCCGCATCTTCAAGCCGCAGTTGAACCATACTGGAACTGTGCAGGTCAAGGCTGAAAATGAGGCCGGAAGTGTGGAGGCCACGGCGCAACTCAAGGTCGAGAAGAAGCCAGAGATGCCCCGCTTCACGACCAATATGGATGACAGACAAGTGAATGAGGGAGAAACGATCAAATATTCCACTACTGTCGAAGGGTTCCCGGAACCGAGTGTGGAATGGACCCTCAATGGAAAGCCCGTCTCTCAGTTCCCGAATATCAAGACGACCAGTGACGGCAATAAGCATAATATTGAAATCGCCGAGATCCCGACCGATCAGTCGGGAGAGTTGTCTTGCACCGCCACCAACTCGGCTGGACACAAGAAACAGTCCTGCCAACTTCAAGTCAAACTCACTGGAGATGCCCCGACTTTTGGACAACAGCTAGAAGAACGATTGGTTGTTGAGGGAGAGTTGGTTTTGATGGGCTGTAAAGTCAACGACGTCAAGCCGAAGCCGAAAATCACTTGGTACCGCGATGGAAAAGAAATCCCCCAGGGAGACTCTCACTTCAAGCTCATCGAGAACCCCGACGGTACCCACCAGCTTCGCATCGTTGAGGCGAAACTGGAGGATAAGGGAAGGATCACGGTCAAGGCCGAGAATACCTTCGGAGCTTCGGAAACTTCCGCCTCTCTAGGTGTGACCAAAAAACGCCCAATGGCCAAGCCCGCCTTCCAGTCGGATATCCCGCCAACAACTGTGATGGAGGGAGAATCCCTGCGTGTCAATGTCCTCATCACCGGCGACCCGACCCCCTTCGTCAAGTGGTATATCAACGGGCAAATGGTGTGCGAGACGCCGGATACGGAATTGAGCTCCGCGAATGGTGTATATACCATGGTGATCCATGGCTGCACGACAGACATGACCGGCAAGATCAAGTGCGTCGCGTACAACAAGGCCGGTGAGGTGCAGACTGAGGGCCCGTTGAAGGTCATCACCCCGGTTCCCGTCGAGTTCGAGACGTCTCTCTGCGACGCGACATGTCGTGAGGGAGACACTCTTAAACTCAAAGCTGTTCTTTTGGGAGAACCTACCCCGGTTGTCACTTGGTATATCAATGGCAAGAAGCTCGAGGAAAGCCAAAACATCAAGATCCACGCCGAGAAAGGCACCTACACCGTCACGATCAAGGACATCACATGTGACTACAGTGGAAAGGTCGTCTGCGAGGCCATCAACGAGTACGGCAAGGCCTCCTCGGAAGCTATGCTGCTCGTACTCCCCCGAGGCGAACCCCCAGATTTCCTGGAGTGGCTCTCAAATGTCAAGGCGCGCCAGGGAAGCAAAATCGTGCACCATGTCGTCTTCACCGGAGACCCGAAACCGGAACTGACTTGGTATATCAACAACAAGAAGGCCGTCAACGGGACCGAGTTCGAGATTGTCACCACGGATACCACCTCGACGCTGACGATCAACGACTTCAACCCGGACAAGCATGTTGGAGAGATCATCTGCAAGGCGGAGAACGACGCCGGGGAGGTGTCGTGCACGGCCAATATGCATACGTATACCTCGGAGATGTTCTCGGAGTCCGACTCGGATGTGGTCGGAAGGGACGACCTGGGAGGTACGGATGAGGAGAGCCTCACCGAGGAGATCATCCGGCGAACCCCGACCCCAATTGCCGCACCCAAGTTCATCGAGAGAATCCAGGACACCAAGGCGAAGAAGGGGCACAAGGCCGTCTTCGAGTGCGTCGTCCCGGATACGAAGGGTGTTGTGTGCAAGTGGTTGAAGGATGGAAAGGAGCTCGAGCTCATCGCCAGGATCCATGTGAGGACGAGGACCATTGAGGGCTTCACCACGCATGAGCTGGAGATTGAGGATGTGCAGCCGGAGGATGCTGGAAAGTAGGGGATAAACATTTGCAAGAAGTTTCGTCTTTTTAGATACACCTGCATCGTCGAGAACCCGCAGGGATTGGATAAATGTGATGCCAACTTGCAAGTGCTTGGTGAGTTTTGAATATGCAAAATATAAAGACAACGTCTAAGCCTGAGTCTAAGCCCAAAGCCTAACCCAAGCTAAGCCTAAGGCTGGAATCAACCTACGCCTAAGCCTAAGCGCAAATCTAAGCCTCGGCCTCAGCCTACCTGAGCTTAGATAAGCTTAAGCGCAAACGAAGCCTAGAAGTAAGCCGAAGCCTGACCCCAGCTAAGCCTGAAGCTAGACTAAAGCTAAGCCTAAACCTGAGCCTAGCATAAGCTTAAGCCTAAGCGTAAGTCTAAACCTATGCCTAAACTAGCCTATGCCTAAGCATGGCCAAGTCTAAGCTTAAGCCGAAGCCTATGCCGAAGCCTAAGCCTAAACCCAAGCCTCCCTTAACCTCATAACCTAAAAATTTCAGAAGTTCTCGAGAAGGCCCCCACCAAACCTCCAGAGTTCATCGTCAAGCTCCAAGACAAAACTGTCGGCGTCACCGACAAGGTCGCCTTCGAGTGCAAGGTCACCGGCGACCCGATGCCAAAGTGCACATGGTACCACGGAGAGGTAAGCGCGCAACTTAGGACTCGGTTAGACATGTTTTTAGCAAATCCTGCGCTCGGAAACGAACAAGGTGACGATCACCTCCGATGATGGGGTCCAGCGGCTTGTCATTGAACACTGCGAGACCAGCCATGCCGGCAAGGTCACGTGCGTGGCTGAGAATGAAGCGGGTACCACCAAGACGACAGCGCAGTTGATCATCGAATGTAAGTTAAGAAATTTGGGATTTGCAGGCATTCTGAAACAAAAAAAATTCTACATCCGCGAGATAAAAGTATCGGATTTGAATGATTTTAATAGCATTCCGAAGCACTTAAAAACCAGAATAAAACTATGTATTTTAATTTGCTAAACTTTAGCAGTTTTTAGCCTCTTGAAGACTTCTGAAGACACGGAATTTTCTAGTCTTCTCTTTCGGCACAAAAAGCACAGCCATCAATACATATAAGAAATTTGAAAATAGTATAATAAATATCCGTATTTTATGCGCCTTTTCAAGAGATTTCGATTGCTATAAAAATTATTCCAATCCGATACGACTATCTCGAGATACCTCAAAAATTAACGTGTATCAAAAACGATCACAGTTTCTTTTAACGATCTTCCCCAGATCCACCCCTTTAATACACGCTTAACCCCTTCCCCCTACTTTCAGCATCCGCCCCCGTCTTCACCAAGTCGCTCGAGGATCGCTTCGTCACCATCGGAGAAACTGTCGCCCTGGCCTGCTCAGTCCGAGGCCTACCCCAACCCACCGTCGAGTTCTACCGCGAGACCCAAAAGATCGTCTCCAGCGAGCGCATCAAGGTCGAGCACGACGCCGCCAACACCAACTGGCGCCTCCTCATCACAGAGTGCACCCAAGAAGACCTTGTCCGCTACCGTGCTGTCGCCACAAACTCGGCAGGGTCAGCGAAAACGGAAGCTTTGGTGCAACTGAAGATCGATGCGCCAAAGATTGAGGACGGGCTCAAGGACCGGAAGGTCAAGGAAAAGGACACTATCGAAATGGAGGCCAAGGTTTCCGGAACGATCCCCGAAATCAAGTGGTTCAAGGATGGACAGCCCCTACGTCCGGATGGAAATCGTGTGATTGCGCAGGACTGCGGAAACGGCGTCTATAAGCTCATTATCAAAGACGCCCAACGCAGCGATGCCGGACAGTACAAGATTCAGGTGTCGAACCCGGCCGGCAAGGTCGATTCGTCTGCTTGGGCTGAGGTGGCCTCGTTTTATGAACCGCCCCAATGGACGCAGCCACTCTCTGACACGCAAGTACTTGAGAAGCAGTGCGTCACTTTGAGCGCTGCAGTCACGGGAATACCATCCCCGTCCGTGGAATGGCTCAAGGACGGCCAACCCGTGAAGGCAGACGGCTTCCACGTGACGATCAAGGAGAGTCAGGAGGGAGTTCACTCAATCACGATTGATGAGGCTCGAGCAGAGGATGAGGGCCGATACTCCGCGATCGCTAAGAATACGATTGGCGAGGCAACAACCGCAGCAAACTTCGCGGTTATTCGCGATTACGTACCTCCAGAGTTCATCGAAAAGTTGAGGAACATTGAGGTGAAGGAGAAGGAAAACGCTACCTACACGGTAGTCGTGAAAGGAGACCCGAAACCGACTGTAGAATGGCTGAAAGATGGCCAACCCGTACAACTTGATGGCCAGCATGTCGTGGCTAAGGATGAGGGCAACGGCAAGTTCTCGTTGACCATCACCGATGCACGACTTTCTGACGTTGGTTCTTACACGGCTCGCGCGAAGAGCGTCGCCGGACAAGCCGAAAGTACCGCCAAGTTCGCCGTCATCAAGACACTCAGCGCCCCCGAATTTGTCGAGCCGCTGAAGAACCTCGAGGTCAAGGAGAAGGACACCGCCACGTATACCACAGTCGTCAAGGGCGAGCCTGAACCTAAGGTTTCTTGGCTGAAGGACGGGCAACCTGTCCAGGTCGATGGCCAGCACGTCGCCGCCAAGGATGAGGGCAACGGAAAGTTCTCGCTAACGATCTCTGATGCTCGCCAATCCGACGTCGGCAACTACACTTGCCAAGCCAAGAACGAGGCCGGACAGGCTGAGACCAGCGCCAAGTTCGCGATCGTTAAGTCGCTGCAAGGACCGGTGTTCACGGAAGGGTTGAAGCCGATTGAGGTGAAGGAACAGGAAACTGCAACCTTGTCGGTGTCCGTTCAAGGCGAGCCCGCGCCTACTGTAGCGTGGCTCAAGGATGGACAACCAGTGCAAATCGACAATCAACATGTACTGGCTCGGGATGGAGGCAACGGCCACTTCGAGTTGGTCATCAAGGACGCGCGACAGTCTGATATTGGCCGCTACACCTGCAAGGCCACAAACCCTGCAGGACAAGCCGAGACTCAAGGAAATGTCGCTGTCATCGAAGATGTGCAGGCCCCGCGCTTTACCGACGGCCTTAAAGGTCTTGAGGTTGAGGAAGGAAAACCTGCCCAGCTCGACGTCACCGTCATCGGAAAACCCGAGCCCCAAGTGGAGTGGTTCAAGGACGGACAACCAGTGCTCATCGACAACCAGCACGTGGTTTCCAAGAAGGACGAACAAGGCCACCACTCCCTGGTTATCCGCGACGTGGCCAAGGCTGATCTCGGAACGTACACCTGCCAAGCCACGAACAAGGCCGGAAAGGCCGAGACACTTGGAGAGATCAAGGTGCCGAAGTACGGCTTCGAAAAAGTTGGCGGCGAGCATGTCGAGCCAATGTTCATCGAGCCACTTCGTGAGCATCTAGCCAAGGAGGGCGACAACGTCGTCCTTGAGTGCAAGGTCAACAAGGAGTCGAAGCCGGAAGTGCGGTTCTTCAAGGATGGAAAGCCGGTCGAGCTCGGCCCGCATATGGCACTTGAGGTCCGTGAGGATGGCACCATTCGGTTGACCATCAACAATGCGACGAAGCAGGATGTTGGCTCGTACAAGTGCGAGGCCTTCAACCCTGTTGGAATCGCGCGGACTGATGCTCCGCTAGAGCTGAAACACGCTGGAGAAGGTGTGGAAGATCTGGGCGAAGAAGGAGTGCTTGGCGGGCTTGATGAGATGCCGAAGGGTAGGGTTTTGAGAGTATCTTGTTTTAAATAAGTTTTTTATCGGTTTTAACCCCGTGTGCTCCTCTCCCACTCACACTTCCTATTACAACGACTTCGACAGGGTCATGGTAAAAAAGATACCTTTAGCCGAAACCGCAAAACAAGACGGTGGTGAGGGACCGCCAGAGTTTGTCGAGCTGCTCCGGTCGTGTACGGTTGAGGACGGCTCGAAAGCGGTCCTGAAGTGCCGTGTAAAGGGTGCGCCCAAGCCGACGATCAAGTGGACCAAGGATGGCAAGACAGTACGTTTTGCATCCCAGTGCTGTAGATGAAGCTTCTAGGTGGATATCGGTACCCGAATCCGCAGCGAGTTGGCTGAGGACGGCACCATCACGCTGTCCTTCGACTCAACTACTCAAGCCGACGCCGGCGAGTACAGATGCTTTGCTGAGAACAAGGTAAGGAAAGCGGTATAAGATTGACACGACTATCTATCCTTTAGCACGGAAGCGCCTGGACGGAAGGCCCGCTGATCGTCGTCCAGAAGGGAGCCCCACTCCCCTCTGGAGATGCTCCGGACTTCCTTCAACCCGTCCGACCCGTTGTTGTAAGCTCTGGAGCCCATTTTCGAATCCAATTCCGCTAGGTTACCGACGGCGAGACGGCAGTGCTTGAGGGCAAGATCTCCGGCAAGCCGAAGCCCACCGTCAAGTGGTACAAGAATGGCGAAGAGTTGAAGCCGTCCGACCGGGTTACCATCGAAGATTTGGCCGACGGTACTGTGAGGCTGACGATCAAGGTAATCCCTGAGCTCCATGTGACATCAAGTTGAGTCTAGAACGCCTCGAAGGAAGACATGTCCGAGTACCGCTGCGCCGCCACCAACGAGTTGGGCGAGGTGTGGTGCGACGCGACGTTGACCGTCAAGCGTAAGTTGAGTGTATGGACGTAAAAGTCTTGTGTTTTTAGCTAAAGGAGAGGAGAAGGCACCGGCTTTCACAAAGGAGCTTGCTCCGACTTCGGTCAATGATGGCGAGAAGGCCGTGTTTGAGTGCAAGTGGGTTTTTCTAGGCTCAGGCTTAGCTTAGGCTTACCTAACCAAACTCACCTTGTTTTTCAGAGTCGATGGCGACCCGCTGCCCAAGATCGCTTGGTCGTGCGACGGCAAGCCAGTCGAAGATGGCAAGAACGGCATCAAGCTGGAGAGCCTCCCCGACGGCACTCAACGACTGTCAATCGATGCCGCCTCCCCCGCCCAGCAGGGCAACTACAAGGTCGAGGCCACCAACGACGCCGGAACGGCCAGCAGTCACGCGCCACTCACCGTCAACCGTAAGTTCTAGAAAAGTCCATTTAACGCTACTTTTTAGCCGCATCATCTGGTCTCAAGATCAAGCGCGGACTGGAGGACGTCACGGTCCAGAAGGGCGTGAAGATTCGACTCTCCGTGGAGGTCGAGGGCCGCCCGAAGACCGTCAAGTGGTACAAGGGCACCGAGCAGGTCACATCAACAAAGTAAGTATCTACAAATTATGGGAATTTATTGCCCTGCCTATTTCAGGACCACCCGCCTCGAGCAAGTCTCCGAGAACGAGTACGCCCTCGTCATCGAGGCCGCCGAGGTGGCCGACACGGACTCGTACCGCGTTGTGCTGTCCACCGACGGTGAAGCGGTCGAATCGTCGTGCCGTGTCACTGTGGTGGATGGTGATGACAAGACGCCGACGTTCAAGAAGGGACTCTCTGACAAGAAGGTCCCCAAGGGACAACCCCTCGTCCTCGACATCGAGGTCGATGGAAAGCCGAAGGCCGTCAAGTGGTACAAGGGCAACGACGAGATCAAGGACGGGCCCAAGGCCAAGATCGAGGATCTTGGAGATGGAAAGTACCGACTTACCATCCCGGATTTCCAGGTAGATCTGAAAAACTAGAACCTTATAAAGTTATTGTTTCAGGGAGACGATGTGGGCGACTACCGCGTGGTCGTCTCCAACGACGCCGGGGAGGCCAAGAGCTCTGGAAAGGCCGATTTGGCTGACGGTGGCGCCAAGCCGGAAATTGTTTCTGGCCTCGTACCGACGTCGGTAGCTGCCGGAGAGACGGCCACGTTCCGCGTCAAGACCAAGGGACCCATCGACAGCGTCAAGTGGTACAAGAACGGACAGGAGATCCCCGCCCCGAAGGCCGAGGCCCTTGGGGATGGTGTCTACCAGCTGACGATCCCCGACGCCAAGAAGGACGACGAGGCTGAGTACAAGGTAAAATTTTCGGTTTTAGTCCATTCCAAAGGTACCTCAACCCTACACTTTTGCCGTAATTACACCATGAATTACATGTCGTGTACCTTCACCTTTAACCTGAGATTCAATCCTAGAGCTCGGGTTTTAACGCACTTTTGAAAGCACATCCCACCCACCCCAAAATCACCCCCCGCACCACCCTAACCATCATTCCTTACCAGGTGGTCCTCGGCAACGCCGCCGGAGACGTCGACTCTTCTGCAGCTCTTACCGTCAAGCCCGAGGCCAAGAAGGACGAGCCCAAGAAGCCAGAGCAACTCGGCATCAAGCGGAAGCTGCAGGACACCACAGTTCCCAAAGGCGAAGACGCCGTTCTGGAGATCGAGACCACGAAGCCACCAAAGGAGGTGAAGTGGTACAAGAACGGGAAGGAGGTCGCTGGAAAAATCAAAGCTGAAAATGTTGACGACAACAAGTACCGCCTCGTCATCCCCAAGTGCGATGATGACGATGTGGCTGATTACAAGGTCGTGCTGAAGGATGATGACGGCTTTGAAGTCGAGGATTCCTGCCGTCTGACGGTGAAGTTGCCAGGCGAGGAGAAGCCTAGCAAGGCAGGAGATGACGGACCGAAGTTTGGCCTAAAAGAAAGGACTCCAAGACACGAGCGTACCGCAAGGAGAAGACGGAATTCTGGAAGTGGAGACGACCAAGCCGCCGAAGGAGGTCAAGTGGTACAAGAATGGCAAGGAGGTCTCTGGAAAGGTCAAGGCTGAGGAGATTGACGATAACAAGTATCGCCTGACCATTCCGAAGTGCGACCAGGAAGATGAGGCCAACTACCAGGTAGTCTTGAAGGATGAAGATGGCTTTGAGGTTGAGGACTCCTGTGCCCTCACTGTCAAACTGCCGAAGAAGGATGACGGGGGCAAGTTCGGACTGAAGAAGGGACTTCAAGACACTGCCGTACCACAAGGAGAAGACGGAATTCTGGAGGTGGAGACTACCAAACCCGCCAAGGAGGTCAAGTGGTATAAGAACGGCCGCGAAGTCACCGGAAAAGTCAATCCCGAGAAAATCGACGATAACAAGTACCGTCTTACCATTCCCAAATGCGACCAAGACGACGAGGCCAACTACAAGGTGGTCCTGAAGGACGATGATGGCTTTGAGGTCGAAGACTCTTGCGCCTTGACTGTCAAACTACCAAAGAAAGATGATGGTAAGAAGGAGGACGGTGCTCCTGGTTTCAAGAAGGGGCTAGAAGACCTCATCGTCCCCAAGGGCAAGCCAATTCATTTGGAGGTCGAGACAACCGGCTCTCCAAAGCAAGTCAAGTGGTACAGGAATGGCCGGGAATTGACCGACGCCGATGCCAGGCCCACGAAGCTTGATGACAACCGCTTTGCCCTAGACATTCCGCAGGCCGGCCCGAACGACGAGGGCCAATACAAGGTCGAGATCTCGAACGACCACGGATCCGCCACCTCTGAGGGCAAGGTCGAGGTGGACGAGCCGCTGACGTTCCTTCGCCCACTCAAGGATGTTGATGTGGTGGAGGGAGAAGAAGCTGGCTTCGTCGTGGAGACGAACGCACGGGTTAGGACCGTGCGTTGGTATTCAAACGGACGGGAGCTGGCCGCAAATGAGCGGCTACAAATCACCGCCGAAGGAAAGAGCTTCCGGCTGACGATTAGAAGAGCCGAGAAGAGCGACGCCGGAGAGATTAAGGTACCTTCGAAGGGTAGTGAAAAATTCCGGAACACTGCTAATTACGGCGAAATATATCGGAGTGTTGCGGAACTTTTCAATATCCAAATAGGAGAATTTAGCAAGCATGCCCATTTTGCCCTGTAACCGCATGACCGCTTACTAACGTTTCAACAAAGTTAGATAGACGTCCCGAGATCAAGTATATGGCTAAATCACTTCTCTAGGTCGTGCTCGGTAATGCCGCCGGTGAGGTCGAGTCTTCTGCGAAGCTGACGGTGAAGAAGGGCACCAAGGGAGCACCGAAGATCCTGAAGGGACTTGAGGATGCTGTCGTGGCGAAGGGTGATAAGCTCGTCTTCGAAGCTAAGGTATCGTTTTAAGCCTAACCTTACGCCTAAGTGTAAACTTAAAGCTAAGCCTAGCTTAAGCCGGAGTCGAAGCCTAAGCCTCGGCCCGAGCATCAGGCGTCAAAAGCCTCAAAACACATCATCCACTTCCAGGTCGAGGGCGATGACGTCACGGTGAAGTGGCTGAAGGATGGAGCACCAATTCCCGCCTCAGCAAATGCTGTCATTGAGAAGATCGACGATAATACGTAAGTTTCGCTAACCTCCCTGAAATCGCTGCTTGTTCAGCTACCGCCTCACCATCCCTAAAGCCGACGTTGGTGATGCTGGCAAATACACCGCCGAAGCGTCGAACGACGCTGGCAAGGCCAAATCAGACGCGAAGGGAGAGGTTGACGAGAAGCCCGAGATCACCCGGGCTCTTGAGCCAGCTTCGATCGATGTGGGAGATGATCATATCTTCCGGTAAGTTAATGAAATGAAGATGGTTACTTGGTTTTACGCTATTTTTTACCAATGATTTTACAGTGTCGAAGTCTCGAAGCCGGTCCGCCAGGTGAAGTGGTATCGCAACGGGCAAGAGCTAAAGCCCGACAAGCACGTCGAGCCCCGCCAGGTCAACCCCAAGAAGTTCGAGCTGGCCATCAACAAGGCGCTGCTCGACGATGGGGCCACGTACAAGGTGTGGCGCGCAACGGTCTGGCTCAAATGTAGATGATTTTCAGGTGGTCCTGTCCAACGCAGCAGGAGAATGCGATTCGTCGGCCGAGCTGACGGTGGCCAAGCCCGAGTCGCTGAAGCTGCTTGAGGGACTCAAGGACGTGACCGTCGATGAGGGACAGCCTATCGAACTGAAGGTACCGTCCTCGCCAAGAGTTTTTGATCATCAACAATCCTAGGTGAAAGTCGAAGGCCGACCTCGTCAGGTCAAGTGGTACCGCAACGGGCAGGAGCTTGCCCCAGGTGACGGCCTGGAGTTGAAGGAAAATCCGGAGAGCGGCGAGTACTCGCTGCGGATCCCGGCTGCAAAGAAGTCCGATGGAGCTGCATATCGCGTCGTACTGTCCGGAGAGAAGAAGGGCGTGGAGGTGGCATCGGGGGCTGTGGCTCACGTCAAGGCCGAGAGGCCGAAAGCCGAGCCTAAGCCAGCCATCTTCATGCAACCGCTGCGTGATACTGAAGTGCCGGAAGGGGAGACGTTGACGCTGACTTGCCAGGTTGGTTTTGAGACTTTTTAAGTACTCCACTAAACAACACATTTCAGATCGGCGGCGACCCGCTCCCCACCCTCACCTGGTTCAAGGACGGCGCCGAGCTCGTCAAGGACGATCGCACCACATGGCGAGTCGCTCTTGACGGCACGGCAACGCTACGTGTCCGTGACGCCCGCGCCTCCGACTTTGGCACCTACAAGGTCGTCGCCAAGAACGACGCCGGCGAGGCGGACAGCCAATGCAAAGTCTCCGTTTCTGCTCGAAAAGAGGAGGCCCAGCCTCCGAAGTTTGTCATCCCGCTTCGAGCGTGTGCCAACGCGCTGGGCGCCAAGCAGGAGTTCAACGTCAAGGTGGGAAAGTTTTCGATTTCTCTAAAAGTTCTTTAGGTTCGCGGACATCCGAAGCCAACCCTGGAATGGACGATCGATGGAAAGCCGCTCGTCCAAGACGGCCGAATCACGGTCGAAGACATGGCTGACGGCAACTATTGCCTAACCATCCGTGACATCCGTGCCGAAGACTTTGGCGTCATCCGTTGCGTCGCCAAGAATGAGAATGGCAGCGATGATTGCGAGGCCAAGTTCGTGCAGGGTGTCCCGCAAGAAGGTGTCGATCGGGAGGGCGAGGGCTATCCGCCAAAGTTCAACGTCCCGCTGTGGGATCGTCGGATCCCGGTTGGAGATGTTCTGGCCATCGAGTGCCATGTCGATGCCAAGCCTCACGCTTCGATCAAGTGGTTCAAGGACAACGTCGAACTGCTTGAGAGCGAGCTGTGCGAGATCCGGAACTCTGCCGATGGTGCCTGCCGCGTAAGGCTTGCCCGCTTCACTGAAGAACTCACCGGCTGCTACCGTTGCCAGGCAACCAACTGCTATGGTGTGGCTGATACTCGGGCGTACTACGAGGTCGAGCTCTTCAAGGAGGAGGAGATCGTCGAGAAGAAGGAACGAGCACCCAAGTTCAACCCCGGCCTTGAGGACAAGACCACCCGAGTTGGGGAGCGCCTCGTACTTTCTTGCAAGGTGGATGGCTCGCCTCTCTTGGTCATCACCTGGTACAAGGATGGATGCCCAGTACGAGCAGATGGGCGACACAGTCTAGAAGGACCGGATGAGAACGGTATTTGCCAACTGATAATCCACGACGTACTCCCCGAAGATGAGGGCGCATATCGGTGCGTGGCCGAAAATAGCTTGGGAAGCTGCAACACCGCTTGCCAAGTAACCGTCAAGACCGAGAAGGTCGAGAAGAAGCGTGAAGGGGAGGAGCCGTCATTTACCAAGGGTTTGGTGGATGCCTGGACCGAGCGTGGTGCTTCGCTTACGTTGAAGTGCGAGGTCCGTGGCGATCCATTCCCAGAGATCAAGTGGTATCGCAATGGAGCGCTTGTCCGCAATGGCCCACGGACTCGAGTGGAGACAACGCCAGAAGGAGTTTGTACTCTAACCGTCTCTGAATGCACAATGAGTGACGAGGGCATCTACAGGTGCGAGGCCGAGAACAAGCACGGAAAGGCCAAGACCCAAGCCACCGCCCATGTCGACATGGGACTCGGAAAGGCCGATAAGGCCCCGATTGTGGAGGGAGAGGCCCCGCGGTTCGTGATCCCGCTCTCCGACTGCACGCTGAGACTCGGATCGACGCTTGAGTTGGAGTGTAAGGTGACCGGAAAGCCGATGCCGAATGTGAAGTGGAGCAAGGATGGTGCGCTGATTGCCGATGATGCGCGGTTTAGCTGGGATAACGATCAGAAGGTATGTCTAATTTTAAAGCTGAAGCCGATATCTACCTGCTAATTTCAGAACGGTTCCTACCGTCTCTCCATCCGCTCTGCCACCGCTGCCGATGAGGGCACGTACCGATGCGTGGCCAGCAATGAGAGTGGCTCGGCTACGACGAAGAGTTTTGTCAGGATTGATGGTTGGTACCTTAAAAGTATTAAGCAAATATACTCTGAAAAATGGACCTAGCTTTCCACCCCCACATCTGTTGCCCATAAAAATAAGGGGATGACCCCAAGGGAGCCACTGCGATACCTTTTGTTCTTGCTCTGGCTTTCAACGCGGTTTTCAAACTTTAAGTACAAGTTCCTTTTAGAATTCACCCCATCTACAATCACCTCCCGACCCGAGCCGCCCCGCTTCTCGATCAAGCTGGGCGACGCGCGAGCCGTTGAAGGGCAGCCCCTGCACTTTGAATGCAAGGTATGCCTAAGCCGAGGCCTAAGAATAACCCTATACCTAAGCGACTAAACCTACCTTTCCAGATCGAGGGCTCACCCTTCCCGGAAGTGACCTGGTTCAAGGACGGCGCCCGAGTAACACCTGGGCCAAGAATCCAACTCTCTGTCGATCCCGCGACCGGAACTGCGTCGCTCCACATTCCAAGCTGCAACATGGACGATGAAGGTAAGCCCTGTTGTGTGCATCGTAACGTACTACTAGGTATCTACCGTGTTGTTGCCACAAACCCCGCCGGAAGTGCCCACGACAAGGGCCAGGCTACGGTAAAGCGAGCACCGAAAGACCAGCAGCCATCCGGGGCATCGCCTTTCGGAGGCGCTCCTGCATACGAGCAGGGCAAGGTGGGCTCGAGACTTTCAAGCGGTACCTTAATATCCTTCCAGGCCCCCAAGCTCATTGACGCGCTCGAAAACGCACGACTACCCGAGGGTGACAACTTCACACTCCGATGCAAATTTGCCGGCGATGGCTTGTCGGTGAAGTGGTATAAGGATGGAGAACGGTTGTTCCCCTTCGGACGAGTGCAAATTGTAGGTTACCAAGGGTCAAGGTATATCCCGTTAAGGCTGACCTGCCCGACGGCGTCTACGAGCTGCGCGTCGAGGGTGGTCAACGACAGGACACCGGTGCGTACCGGTGCGTGGCCGAGAATGCCTACGGATCTGCACGTACTGCCGGTGATGTCAATGTGCAACGTGGAGAGCGACGAGCTCCCTCTACGGAACCATCGAGGGCAGGTCGTGCTCCGGGCTTCACGATTCCGCTGACTGTCAAGGTGGTCTTGAATTTGTTTTGAAAATGGTAGATTTCCAGAGGGTGAAGGAAGGCGAGCCAGCCACACTGGAATGCTTGCCCTTCGGCGAGCCGTTCCCTACAATCAAGTGGTTGAAGGACGGCATTGAACTTGTTGCTGATGAGCGGATTTTGGTGGGTTTCGTGGATTTTCGCTCGTTGGAATTGAACTCGCGACAGGAATGAGGCCGTTTCCGCCAAAAAACGCTATATCACCTCTGCGTGTCTCTATGACTATCCTTAGTGCGCGTCAGGCTGTTTGGCGCGAAATAAGGCTTAAGCCTAAGCCTAAGCCTACGTTTCAGATCGACGCACTGCCCGATGGAACGCAGAGGTTACGAATTCCCGCCACTACGTTCCTTTCCGACGGCTTCTACCGCTGCGTAGCTACCAACTCGCACGGAACCGCCTCCACCAAAGCCGAGCTCACCGTTGATGGTATGTTTTTAGCTTTAGAAACCGCTTTATCGGGGCTTAATACTAGTCAAATCGAGATCAACAGATACTCGCGGGTCGAGCGGGGTAGGGGAACAACAGGCTGGAGGAGTACGGGGTACAGGCTTAACAAGAAAATACCGGAAAGCACGGGGCGGAGCTGAACAACCGAAAAATGGAGTAGACGTTGCGTCTAGAAAGCTATAACTCTAGACAATCTAAGTAAGGAAAGTTATAAAACTTGCGTTTCTTAAAAACTGGTTAATTAGAAGTGTTTAGTCATAGTTTATACTTGCACACGGCGACGGCCCGGTAGAAGGACAGGATTTTGTCGGCGTAGTGGTTAATCCACCTTAACAAAAAGTTCTGATAATTCGTGAGGTATCCTTACTTTCCCCTTCTGTTCATCACCAGCACGGCCAGCGACCTGCCCCCGTGCGGCATCCCTCGCTCCCAGTTGCTGTACACGAAATCGGAGCCTAACGGAGGCATCGTAAAAGTAGTAGAAGAACAATACCGTCCAGCCACGCCCAATTCTGCCGATCATTCGCATTCCCGAACGCTCCTAGCAGTATAAACTCAACGTCGGTGAGGGCGGCCTGGGCGAGGCTTCGAACGAAAGTGTTCTCCTCCTCGCTTAGCACTGAGGCCAGCATGGCATCTTTGTCGATTTCAGCGCCTAAAGGTATCGGAAAATTCGAGAAGGATTTTAAGTATTTTTACCCATCTCGTAGCACCGAATATCGGCGGTGAGCATCGTCATGTTATCCCTGGTCACGGCTCGATAGCAAGATCGGGTAGCACGATTATAGGCCCAGTTTTTGCCACAACCAACCTAGAATAAACGGTACTTTAAGTCAGATTTAAGGGTTTTAGATACGGTAAGAAGCTCCCAAAAGTTTTTCGCTATAAATTTTTTATGTTACAGTATTTTGGGTTGTAGTTAAAAATCTTGGTATATTTTTGCTACTCGGTCCAATGGCGTAGCCAAAATCCCGACAAAATAGCGAAAATGTCGAAAAAATTCGAATTTCCGGCTTGGTGGGAAAGTAAAGCCTAACCTTAGATACCTAGCAGTCAACCTAGCTATTTAACTAATAACCTTACCTTTTCCGGTTTCCCAATAGCTCGCCTCTCACAAACTGCATACGCTTTCGCGGCACAAGGTGTATTGGACCATTCCCCTTTTGAGTTTACTAAATTATTTTTGCAAGCTTAGCGGCTTTTTCGCACCCGTAACGCAGCCGCTGCGCAATCGTCGGTCCCGTGAGGCTCCGCCAAAGTTCGAGTATCGTACAGGGCGATCTAAAACAGTAGCGTTTTCTTGTGTAGTGAAACTTACTGTTCGGCCATCTCAACACATAGCCCGGGCTGAATAGGCCCGCAGCACTATCGACAATGTCGAAGCGGGCTTTTGCGTCCATCCACACCGGCCACTCGTTCGTCATTTCTAGGGTTTAAATTAGAAGTTAAATATTTAAAAAATACCTAGTTACTGTAATTTTTCGAAACGTCTGTGTTAGTAATCAGATTATACAGTGCCCTTTATACAGTACAGTAGGATTTTACTTTAGCCCCCCCAGCCAGAAGCGCCCAAAAATCTTTCGCTATAACTTTTCTACCTTACATTATTCTGAGCTGGAATTAAAACTCTTCGTATGTTTTTTGATGTTCTATCGAATGGCGAAGCAAAAATCCCGATAAAATAGCGGAAATGCCGAAAAATTTTGGAACCCGGGGCGCGGGGGGTAAGCTAAAATCCTAGCCAAAGCAACTCTCTCCTACCCTGTAATTGTCGATTTTCCCTAGCATCCTCGATTCGAAGTAATGACGCTCGCTTCGACAGTCCTTTACAGTACGATTGGGCCTAAATACACAAATGGATCATACCCTAACAATGCCCACCTCATCATGCGTATACCGCCTCCTCGACAAATAATAACAAGTCTTGGCCTTGGCGTAGTGAATCCATCCCTTCGGACAACGATCCGCCACCAGCGCCCGGGGGGCACAGATCGTTTGATGGACAAGAAGAAATGATACGATAATAAAGACAGTTCCGAGCATCCGATTTGTCAGCGGCCACAGCGTGCGTGTTTGGGGCCCACCTCTTAGGTCCCGGAGGATGCCTTTATGGATTGGGGTTGTGAGTCAGTCTTTTTTGGGTCGGGGCCCCGGCAAATATAGACTCTCACCAGAGGGTGGCCACTCAGCCGTGTAGGCGACGCGTTGACTCGCCTGGAATAGGTATTTGGGGTGGGAATTGAAGGTGAAAATAGCATGAAATAGCTGGTGAGGTCTGAGGTATAGGCTGATTCATAGGTGTGGATTATTTATTACTCAGTTAGCGTTGTGTCAGGGGGGATGAGGCTTAGGTTTAGGCCAAGGCTTGGCTTAAAGGATAGGCCGGCTTCTGTTGAACCCTTGGGAGGGAGGTTCAACAGGTCCCGCGGCGAGAGATGGCGCCTAGGGGTTAGGCGAGAGACATTTAATATTTTCGCGCGTAATCGATTGACTTATGCCGCCCTTATCCCTTTAAACGTAGGCTTAGGCGTAGGCTTAGGCTCAGACTTCGACTTAGGTTCACATTTATTTTAGATATCAGATTTGGGGTTCGTTCGATAGGTTAAAAGTTGTGAGCAATTCGCGATCGTAAAAAATTGTTGTACAATCGAAAACCTAAAATAGTTTTTAAATGTGTTGTTAAGAGCGCCTTTTCGAGAATGCAATGATTTTATACTTTGCGAATTAAAACTCTATCAAATTTTCAAAACTGCTACAAAATAATCACTCCCCAAAAATTGGTAAAGTATGCTCTGCTCTGGTCGACGTAAATCTGAAGCCCGCCGGGGGCAGGCGGCTGAGGCTGAATAAAATTTCCGCCAATTTCCGCCCGGCTCTGGCGGTTTGGGCGGGCGGCCCACGTGGGGCTGTTCCGAGAAGTGCATTGCTAGAAAATACATGACAAGTCAGGGCTTTAAAGTGAAAAACTAAATGTCTTAATTTTCAGGGGATCGCACGGCAGCGTCGAGGAGACATTCTGAGGAGCCGACAGGTCCGGTCGACTCGAAGCCGAGGATCAGGAGAGGGCTCTACCCAACTGTTGTACATCAGGTATGATTAAGCTTAGCCTAAGCCAAGTCCAAGCCTATCAAAGCTAAGCCAAAGCCGTCTAGGCCTAAGCTTCTAGCTAAGCTCACATATGCCTAAGCCTGGGCGAAGACTAAGCCTGAGCCTAAGCCAAGTCCAGGTCTAGCCTCAGCTTAGGCCAAACCTAAGCCTAAGCGAAAACTAAGCCTAAGCCTAAGTCTAACCCTAAGCTAAGCCTGAGCCAATTGCTGGCCTAGCCTAAGCTTACGCTTAAGCCTGGCTCTAAGCCCAAGCCTACTCGTAAACATTTTTATTTCAGGGCGCCTCCGTCGAAATGATCGTTTGCGTTACCGGCTGGCCGACACCAACCGTCAAGTGGTATCGCAACGGCGAAGAGATCGTTCCCGCCACCGACGATGACCGTCACGTCGTCTTCACCGACGACCGTGGCCTCCACCATCTCGTCATCGTCAATGCACAGCCCGAAGACGAGGCTGAATACGCCCTCGTCGCCCAGAACCCGCTCGGCGAAGCCAGAACTGACGGTACCTTAAGTGTAATTCGTCCTCGAGGAGGTGACGGTGGCGATGAGGACCGGAGAAAGGGCGCCTATCCGCCTGGCTTTGTTCGTCAGCTGAAGAACAAGCACGTGTTCACCAAGCTGCCGACGATCTTCGATTGTTTGGTGGTTGGCGAGCCGTCACCAACCGTGGAATGGTTCCACAATGGAAGACGCGTGAAGCCGGGCCCAAGGCATAAGATTCAGACGGCAAAGGTGAGGGAAATTCTAAATATCAAAGCGCCTGTTTTAGGGAGGTTCCCACGCTCTGATCATCTTGGAGACGGAAGAGGGCGACGCGGGCGAGTACGTGGCCGTGGCATCAAATTGCCATGGTACGGCTTCGTCTTCAGCTGTTCTCGACGTCACCCGGCCCTTGCTTGACGACATCCGCTTTGACGGGACTGTCGATGTGGGACCGCTGTTGACAGAGGAATATGGGTTCCGGCCCAAGATCTCCATGTCTTCACTCCCTACTCCACCAGATCGTGGTCCTTTTATTAAGGAGGTAAGTAGCAGGACACACACACTCTCTCTCTCTCTCTCTCTCTCTCCCTCTCTCTATCTCTCTCTCTCTCTTCTAGAATAATTTACTGCTTCTCTAGGTCACTGGCCATTACTTGACGCTGTCGTGGATCCCGACGAAACGTGCGCCACCCCGCTACCCGCAGGTCACGTACGTCATCGAGATTCGAGAACTTCCGCACAAGGAGTGGTCACTGGTAAGCTCTAAACCCAAGCCTAAGCCTAACGTAAGCCGAGATAAGCCTAAGCCAAGCCTAAGCGTAGTCTAAGCCCAAGCCTGCCTAGCCCTATGCCTAACCCTAAGCTAAGCCCGACCTAAGCCTAAGTGAAGCCTAGACCTAACTAGGCTAAGCCCAACAAGCCCAACCCCTTTCAGCTCGACTACAACATCCCCGAGCCGGTGTGCAAGGTGCGGAACCTGGAGCTCGGAAAGTCTTACCAATTCCGAGTTCGAGCCGAGAACATCTACGGCATCTCCGAACCCTCACCGGCATCCCCGCCAAGCAGGTACGCACTGGTTTCTGAGAGCCACTAAACCAATCGATTTTCTAGATTGATGGCCCCGCCCCAGCCAGTGTTGGACAAGAACAAGAAGATCATCCCCTTGCTGGACCCGTACGCCGAGCAGGCGTTGGACAAGGCTTATGCCGAGCAGTATGGTGGGTTTTGAGTGAACAAGCGCTAACAGTGCAAAATTGCAGCCTGCGCCCCCTGGTTCGCCCCTGGCATCGAGGAGAAGCGGTACTGCGCCGAGGCGGACAGCATTAGCATTGTGCTGAATGTTCAGGTGGGTCTCCACTCTCACTCTCACTAGCCTAAGTCTCAGCCTAAGCCTAAGCCTAAGCAGCCTAAGCAGCCTAAGCAGCCTAAGCCTAACCTAAGCTTCAGCAAGCTTGAGCCTAACCTAATCCTAAGCCTAATCCTAAGCCTAGCAAGCCTAAGCCTAATCTAAGCTCAAGCCTAAGCCTAAGTAAGCCTGAGCCTGAGCCCTAACTTTCAGGGATACCCCGATCCACAAATCGTCTGGAAATTCCGCGGCGTGGACATTGACGTGACGGACCCGTTGTGTCGATGCAAAATTCATACCTATGGAGGTTCCGAAACGATCCTAACGATTTCTGGGTTCAACAAGGTATCTTGAGCTTTTTTGAACTTCATCTAATGAACCAAAATTCAGTCCAACGTCGGCCAATACCAGTGCTTGGCCACCAACCAGTACGGTGACGCCCAGCAGAACATCTTTGTCGACTTGGCGAGTAAGTTGTGGAGGTGGAAATGTAGATATGGTCGAGTTTAAGCCGACCAAGCTAGGCCTTAAGCCTAAGCCTAAGCTTAATCCTAAGCCAAGCCTAAGCCTAAACCTAAGCCCATGCTGAAGCTTAAACCAAGCCTAAGCTTAAGTTTAAGCCTAATCTACGCCTAAGCCCAAGCCTAAGCCTAAGCCAAGTCTAAGGTGAAGCCTAAGCCTAGGCATAAAGTTAAGCCTAAGCCAAGCCTAAGCCTACGCCTAAGCCTAAGCCCAAGCCCAAGTCAAGCCAAGCCTAAGCCAACTTTTTTAGCACGCCCCGAATTCGTACAACCCATGTCGAACCGAACGTTCGGCGCGGGACAACCACTAAAACTCGAGGTGCGCGTTGAAGGCAACCCGGCACCGACGGTCAAGTGGATGAAGGTAACGTCTCTCTCTCTCAATCTCTCTCTCTCACTCTCTTTCTCTCGCTCTCTCTCTCTCTCTTTTTCTCTCTCTCTTCTCTCCTCTCTCTCTCCCTCTCTCTCTCTTTTTCTCTCTCTCTCTTCAACACTTTTTCCTAGGAATGGAAGCCAGTCGTCGGGTCATCACGGGTCAAGCTCGGCTTCGAGGAGCCCTGCACGCACACGTTGACCATTGGTAAACTCCGAGCCTAAAAACCACATACAATCCTCCTTTCAGCGGAACCAATGGGGCGCGACTCCGGCGTGTACAGCTGCGTCGCTTCCAACGAGGCCGGCCAGAGCACGTCATCGGGAAATGTGACCGTAGAAGGTGGGGCCCCGCCCAGCGGCCCGATCAGCTCGATCCACTCGGATCGGCTGCTTCTCGACTGTCTATACGCCCGACGCATGCTTTGATTTGAACAGTACTACACCCCACAGTACACCACACTACTATGGACTTCTATTGAAGATATAGAAGCTGAACAATTACGCCCTCAATTCACTATTTTCTTGTAAATCTGGATGATCATCTACAACAAAAGTTCAAGGAGTTGGGCGGCTCTCTTTATAACACCTTGGGGGAGAGAGCCATCTGCACTCCTTGAACTTGTTGGAGATACGTCATTCTCCATTTCTCTTTCACATCTGGTAGATAAAGTTTTGCCTTGAAGAGGACGATATCTAGGCCGTTTTCAAGAAGTTTTCCGGCTCTCTTTATAACACCTTGGGGGAGAGAGCCGTCTGAACTTCTTGAACTTGATGAACCCGTTTTTCCGAGGGATGACGTTGGGGGACGTCGCCCTCACTTCCGGAAGCGGAAGATCCAAATTTTTGAGAATTCCTCCTCAAGCCCAAAACTTTATCTACCCAGATTTTCTCTCTTTTTGTACAAACCAAACCGAACGACGAGACGACGATGCTGAACAATCGACAATGCCCTATAAAGCTCAATTAACACTGCCAAAATCAATATTTACATATCCCGGCAGAAGAGACCCCTAATTTCCGCTAGACTCCCCAGAATTTTTGGATTTTTGCTAAAAGGTGACCCAGGTTTTTGGAATTGGTTACGGTATCTAGGTCATGTTTTAGCAAAAATACCCGTTTTCTACGCGCCACTCCGGTGTTTTACTTTGGTATTGGTGTTTGATTCCCAGTCTAGGACGAAGCCTAAGCCTAACCTATACAATTTGTGTACCCCCACCGAGTGCCCATTCCATTTTACACTACGCACCCACCCCCCAACGACACTGCCAGTCGACACGCAGGAAAAACAAAATTTTCTTAAAGTATTTTTAGAGTTTTATACACCCCCTACTAGCCATTACCTTGATTCTAAAGATGCGTGTGTGATAATTTAAGCTTTCTGAGAGATGTGTGGCCCCATTTCTACTTCTTTTGCCCTGCCCCCCCACTGTCTCCCCAACCATTTTCCATTCGATAAAGCGGATATTTGCTAATACACACCCACAGAGTCACATATTACTTTTCAGCACATAACTTACCACATACCTTACAATCCTATTGACATTTCACCGTGCCCTGGACACATACTAACCCCAAGTATCATGGGTACATTAATAGATACCTCTAGATGAAACTCTAGCCTTAAAAACGCTGGAAAACTTTTTAGTAACTCCTTTTAAATTATTATAATCACTTATCGAACATTTGCTAGAAATTCCACACAGTAGAGCTGCAAAGCTTATTTTGGTTATGTTTGGTAGTCGGCATTAATGATATCACTTGCCTCATGCTTTTCTCGAAGTATTGATATGGCCGACCGCCACGACCGCGACACGCCACGCAGACGCAGCTTGGCGCTGTAAAGGTGCAATATGTTACGCCATGTAAAAACCGACCTGCGCGTTGCATGGCGTGGGTACCGCAAAATTTCGTGGGTATCTACTAGCAAGAACTGCCAGCCATGCTTTTGCATCCCCTTTAAAATTGTCAAAAAAAGCTCGGGAAAACGATCTCATGTCATTGGTTAAGAGCTCATCTGCTAATGCTATAACATTTAGGCGTAGTTGGGGAATCCTTAGAAGTATGTATGGCAAAATAAGGGGTCTCCGCAGGGCGCGCTAGCAAAGACCTGTTTAGCGGGATGCCATCTAGTTATACCTTTTTGTCTTTTGTCGACTTAGCGCTTAAAGGAAGCTGGGAAGCCGTTGGCAGAGAGAGAGAAAGAGAGAGAGAGAGAGTGAGAGAGAGCGAGAGCGAGAGAGTGAGAGAGACGTACCTGGGGAGTGAAATTTTACAATGCTGGCCGCTTTGTGGTTTCCTCACCTAACTGCGATAAGCTCAACTCAAATTAAATAATTACGAATAATTTCTATTAGTAAATTTATATGGCCATTTCAGATATTTATGCATTTCATACTGGCCTGGGGCCTCAGAGAAAAGCGTCATTTTGAGGTTTTCGGGGTTTCTTAGAGTCTACTAATGAGTTGTTCACGCTGCAAATACCTTTTTTAAATGTGAGTATCTCATAGCTCTCTCTTTCTCTCTCTCTCTCTCTCTCTCTCTCGTCTCTTTCACTCGCTCTCTCTCACTCTCTCTCTCGCTTTCGTCTTCGCTCTCTCGCGCTCTCGAGCTTTTTATTTCTCTCTCACTCTCTCTCACTCTCGCTCTCTCTTTCTCTCACGTTCCTTTTATCAAGAGACAGGCAAACACACGAATATGATTGAAGATACGCGCTAATCGCATGCTTTTTAAAGTCCCCAAAAAAATTCATGCTCCGAAAACAGTTCCTTTTAGAAGAAGACCCCGACTCGACGCAGTCATTGCCCAAATTCATCCGCGATCGATCGACGTCGCGGGCACGGCGGAGGGCCGCACTTCTTGAGGAGGACGAGCCAGTCGAAGATGCTCCTGCCGAATCCACTGAAGAATGAATATTTTTCCGCTTTCTTCTCTCTTCTGCGCTGTTCCCTTACTCAAATACCGGTCACTCGCTCAACTCTACTGTTCTATAGGATACGCTACATTTAAAGCCAGGTTTATACCATAAAATTTGGAAATATGAAACTATTATGTGCAACTATTTGTTATCAGAATTTCGAAAATTGGAATGTTGAAATCCGATTTGTCGAAAATCACTTTGTCGGCATTTTATTTTTTCGAAATTCAATTTTATCGAAATTTTATTTTGTCGATATTCTTTTATCAAAATTTCAACTTGTCGAAAATCAGAATTTCTAATTTTTACCATATTTTTGGGCAGTGAAATTTCGACAAAATGAAATGCCGACAGAACGAAATGCCGAAAATTCCAATCAAAATGAATCTCGATAACATGAAATGCCGACAAAATGAATTTTCGACAAATCGAATTTCGGCATTCTCATTTTCCCGAAAAAAAATTGAAAACTATTTGCAACACTTTCGCCTGGTGCTCATAACCGTTGCCTCCGAATGAATTGAGGGCTCCGATTTGCCCCGCCTAGCTCCTTTAAAAAATTTCCCGCTCCTGTAGTTTGTAGCCCCGCGAATCTGCTGTCTGTATGTAATCATTCTTCGCTTCTCCGAGTAGTTTTTTCCTTTTTTGGGCAATTTTCTAGGTTTGACAATTTGGTTGGGGGACCATGTCGACCTGGATTTGGCCGATTTTTACCGATTTTTACGTATTTTTAAGGCTTCTAAGCAGTTGGGGGATTGCTTGGAAGGCTTTTTTGGTTTTTTGGTGTCTCTTGTCGAGGTATGCGAAGAATAAAGATTTGCGATCGTGTTTTGGTATAATAAAAATGCACAAGAAACAAGAATACGCTCCGAAAGAATCTCTGTTAGCCTGCCCTTCCTCAAAGAATCTCTGCTAGCCTGCCCTTCCTCAAAGAATCTCTGCTAGCCTGCCCTTCCTCAAAGAATCTCTGCTAGCCTGCCCTCCTCAAAGAATCTCTGCTAGCCTGCCCTTCCTCAAAGAATCTCTGCTAGGCTGCCCTTCCTCAAGGAATCTCTGCTAGCCTGCCCTTCCTCAAAGAATCTCTGCTAGCCTGCCCTTCCTCAAAGAATCTCTGCTAGCCTGGTCGCTTCCTGAAGGTCTCTGCTGCCTGCCACAGCGATTCTTGATGTCCATAATTTTCATCGTAGCCCCTTGTTGTTCTCCTGACTCAAAATTCTTTGCTTTTCCACAAAAACCTCTTCCCAGTCCCTTTAAAACGTCTAGAACGGACCGTCTGCCAATTGGCACTGGCCAGCCAGAGAGAGAGACAGACACATGCGAGACATCGATGCCTGCCAAGGGCCCAGTTCTCTGTCGGTCCGGTTCCCCTATCCGGACCCAGTGGATGGGATGGTGACTGTTTGTCCATTAAGAGAGAGAGACCGTCCAGCCGGTCTTCACCTAGACTGTCCACAGGTGTGCCGCGGACACACCAATCTGCACACGGCTCCCACAGCCAATGGCATGCTTATTGTTTGGGATTTCCGGGCTTTGTAGGTTCGAATTCCGGGTCTTTTTGCCCTAATTGCGACTAGTTATGGCGAATGTATTTAAAGGCAAAACTGAATTTTTAAGAAAATTTTTGGGATACTGTAGATTTAATTGTATCCGCAGCTTGTGCTAGATATCCTAGCGGTCATCCAAAGTCTAAGCCGAAGCCGAAGCCGAAGCCTTAAGACTAACCCACGCTTAGTCTAAGCCAAGCCTATTCTTAAGACAAGCCCAAGCTAAAGCTAAGCCTAGTCTTAAGCTAAGCCTCACCCTAAGCCCTGCCCAAGCCTATGCCCAAGCCGTTGCCTATTCTTAGGCCAAGCCCAAGCTAAGCCTAAGCCTGATCCAAGCCTCATTTTGCTTTTTGGCCACTAGCTGCTCACACAGTATGTATTCTGACCACCGTCGTGTCTTTTTGCTCCTAAAATTTCCTAAATATTTGCCTTTTCGAGAAACGATGTGGGGAAAACGCTAGAAAAGGAGTGGGTGGCGGGCCCACGCATAGAAAATGGCAATTCTTCTTGTCGTGCTGTCGTTGTCTCTCTCTCTCGCTTTCTCTCGCTCTCTCTCGCACCCATTTTTTGTTTAGTCTCTTGTTCTGTGCCCTGTTTGCCGTTGGCCCCCTCATTGGGTGGTGACGTCGTCATCGTGGTCAACGAGGCGTAGGGTGGCGTCCATGGCAAAGACGCGGAACTTTGGCACCAATTCTGACGCTTGTCACAGTGCGTGGCCTGGCGTGTTGCTTGTTGATTTCATCTTCAGCCCCCGGGAATTCGTGAAAACCGGACGGCTACCGTAGCCCCGCGGAATTGAGGTCAAATGACGGGGGCCAAACCGGATGCCGGGTGAATCATGGGATAGACATAATAGTCGAGGGTTTTGTCCTCGGGATTCAAATGCCAGGTCGCGTTTTTTCCGATGACTGTACCTGTAGATAGGCAAGAAACGGAATTGTTCGGCGAAATGGACGGTTTTTCATCACTGGACCTAGTATGTGTCATATTTTACTCCATTTTTGCTAAATTTTCATGTCGTTTTGCGTAATTTGCATACGTCATTATCTAGTTTGCTTAATTTTTGTAACCACTAATCTAGAAAATCTGTTTATTTAATAGAAACTTATTGAAGAACGTATTTTCTAAGTATTCATTAATTCAAAACATTTTTATTCCAGAAAACGGTCGCTTCGCGAAATTTTGGCTTCCTCAAAAAACCTCTGCCAGCATGCACTTCCACAAAGAATCTATGCTGGCTTGCCCTCGCTTCCTCCAAGTTCTGTGCTAGCCTGCCCTCGCTTCCTCAATGATCTTTGCTAACCTACCGACGATTCCTCAATGATCTCTGCTAGCCTGCCCTCCGTCCCGCAAAAATTTCCACTACCCTTCCATCCCTTCCTCAATGATCTCCGCTCGTCTGCCTTTGCTTGATAAATTTATGCTAGCATGCCCTCGATTCCTCAAAGTTCTCTATTGGCCTGCCAGCGCTGCCTCAATGATCTCTGCTAGCATGCCCTTGTTGCCATACCCCGAGCGTGGGATATGCCAGATCCCCTGTAGCGGACCGTGGGATTTATGAGTCTGTGGGAAGCTGGGTGGCAGACGGTGTCTAGGGCGGGGCTCTCGACTGTCAAGCTGATGGCGGTTTGTTGACTGCCCGAGGGCATTGCGGGGGTGGGGAATGTATGACTGAAGGGCAGAGGCAGAAGAGGCAGAAGCCTTGCGGACAACCTTGCACCCACCCAGTCTCGAGGAGGCATTGCCAACAATTCACACAATCTGCCTTCGGTAATTTGATCGATTTGATGATGGGGTGGTGACCTCGTCTGGGGTGTCATGCAAACCCGGTTTTTGAATGTTGTTGTCGAGCCCTGATTTTTGGGGGCATGTTTTGATGTTTTGGTGTGAAGCAGAAAATAGAAGCGCTGAAATTTTAAGGAGACGAGATACGCAACAATCAACCTTTTCATTAGGTAACGAAATGGAAAGAATCACTAAAAACCACAGCTCAAAAGAGTCTGGAGTTGTACAAATTTCATTCTCGTAAATTAGAAGTCCTACCTTAACGCACACTTCGAGACCTTCAAAAATGGTATAAAAACCGACCTCACCCTCACGCCGCCATCCAGTTGTTTTTGGGAATTTTGGGTAGCGGGCTTGACTTAGGCTAGGCTTGGGCTTAGGCTTAAATTTATACTTAAGCTTAAGCTCAGCTTAGTCCTAGCTAAGGCTTAGCTTCGGCTTAGCTCCAGCTTAGCCTAGGCTTAGTTTAGCCTTAGCTTAGGCTTAGCTTGTGCTTAGCTTAAGCTTAGCTTAGGTTCGACTTAGACTTAGGCTTAGGCTTCGGCTTATACTTGGGCTTTGTCATAGGTCTAGGTTAGGCTTAGGCGTGGGCTTAGGTTTAGGGCTATACTTCCACTTACGCTTGGCGTAGACTTGGCTTAGCTGGGCTTAGGCTTAGGCTTAAGCTAAGCTTAGTTTTAGCCGAACTGTCACGCTTGTATTCCATCTTGTTATGACCTTGTCTACGACAAGTGCAAGTCGCCAAAGCATTGCGTTGCCAAATTGGGTGTTTACCAGCCCGAGGCAAGGCAGGTATGTCGCGACAGCTAGGCGGGAGAGGTTGATAATCAGCCAGAGCTAGAGAGAGCGAGAGAGAGAGAGAGAGAGAGCGACAGGCCACGAATTCGACAATGATTCCCGAACCGGCGCCACGGGAAAGGTGAAGGCGAGACAAAGAGCGAAAGCGCCGGCGGGCGTTCCCGCCCCCGAGGCGCTCATAGCCCCAGGGCATTTTCACTCCCGCCCTTCTCGGGTTTTCACCCCATTGTCTTGGCATTGTCTTCTGTGCGGTCAATGGCAGCCGCGTCGCGCTCTTTTCGGTTCGCGCCTATCATGGCGGCGTTCCGCTTGACACTTGTGTACGGGTGGTTACTGTATGCGGGGTTCCGGGGTCTGTTCCCGTCTCATATCTTTATATGCCTTTATGCCCTCTATTGTGGGGAGCTGTCCCTTTGTTTTGTTGTTTGAACTAAATTCGGCTTGGTAGAAAGGGCTTAGGCTTAGGCTTAGGCTTCGGCTGCGGCTTGGGCTTAAGCTTCAGCATAGACTTAGGTTACCAGTGATTAGGAGTATGACGAGCGATCTGATTACGAGTTGGCTAGAAGGCGGGCAAGCTCGCAAAGAGTATTAGGGAACCAACAACCCGCTGATTAGCAGGCTAGCAGAGAACATTGAGGAACCCTCACTAGCTCGGTAACTCGGCATGCTAGCAGAGATCTTTGGAAATAACGATATTCAATATAGCAATGAAATCTTAGGAAAAATTACTCCAGAAAAAGTTATCTACAGTGTCCACGTGAACGGCCAGAAGACGTGGAACTCAAAGGTCAGCAGCAGCCTGTCGGCACTTCTAAAGGCTTCTTACCTTTACTACTTCCGTAGCGACATTTATGGGATCAGCTGTCCTCCTGCTTCATCCGTGTTGTGCTCTCTCTCTCTCTCTCTCCTCTCTCTCTCTCTCTCTCTCTTCGAATGTACGGTGCAGTTAGGGCCCGCCAATCACCCGAAATGGCCTCCTCCCCCTTTTTTTCAGGCCATTTCGACCCCCGAGGATTTGCATTGTTGGGCTTGAAAGATAAGCCGCCCATTCCCCCGCCCCCCTTGATAACCCCTCTCGTTTTCACCCCATTTACAACCGCTCCCTAGCCCTTACAAAAAAACACAGATACAACTGTAATCTGTATTCGCGCGTTTTCCTGAATGTTTACCTGTCCTCCTTGAAGTTGTTGTGGCGCTCAAGAGTCCGTTATTCAGAAGAAGACGGCCGCCCAGAGCCGAGGAGTGCGGCCCGGGGCCCAGGATGAGGTGGCGGCCAATGATGTGAGTTTTTTATCGTTGTCTCTCTCGCTCTCTCTCTCCTCTCTCTCTCCTCTCTCTCTCTGTCTCTGTCTCTCTCACTATCTCTCACTCTCTCGCTCCCTCAGTCGCTCTCTCTCTCACTCTGTCTCTCTCTGTCACTCTCGCTCTCTCTTCGCTGAATTCTGTGTAGTATGATCTACAGCCTAATTCCCCTGAAAACTCCACTCAAAATTTCGATAACTTTTCCATAAAAACCTTTTAAAGGCACTGGAAACTTCGAAAAAATCGACTCTTGCAGTTTCCCAGTCCTAGCTGACATTGCTTTCGGGATTCTCGAATCGCGATTTCGGTATTCGGGATTTTGGAATTCGGGGTACTGTAATTCGGCATTTTCGGCATCAGGATTTTTTAATTCGGGATTATGGAATGCGGATTTTCCGATTCCGGTATTTTTGATTCGGCTTTTTCAAGGGGTGATGCTTCGGAATTCCTGCTTTTCTAATTCGGGCTTTTCGAAAACGGGTTTGTCCAAATGAGGATTTTGTAATCCTACTATCCTACTATATATATAAAAATATAGTGTCTGTGTGTGTTTGTGTGTGTGTGCCACTTTGCATCCACTTCCGTCTGTCTGTCCGGAGGATATCTCAAGGAGGGACGGGTATTAGGCTACGTATGATACGTCATTAGGTGCGTAATGGTCTAGGGATGACTGCACACATATGAGATTTTAAAATTAGCCATTTTCGCTATTAATTAGGATTTTGTAAAACCTCTTTGTTGGAATAATTAGCATTGACCGGAGTGGGCAGTCGTCTATATAAAGGGCAGCAGGGCTGTTTTTCATTTTTTTGTCTTCTGATGGAGGACAATTATAAGGACAGAATAGTATGGGGTCCAAGAGGGGCCAGGGTTGAAAAGTCGCAAAGCGGCTTTTCAACCCTGGTTGAGACTTAAAAGGCGGTTTCCGAGTCACCCGAACGGCCCCGATACTAGCTTGGTACAGTTTTTTTGGACCCTGTTTTTTTGACGCCATCTAAAAGAGCGTAGTCGAATTAGTAGGGCTGCATAGTTTTGAAAATTTAAAATGTTGATTTTCGGTTTTAAACGGCTGTTAAAGTTGCGTACCACCAAAAATTATCTCGAAAAATACTCATCAGAAAAATCTGAAAATTTGTGACAATACGAATTTTAGGGTTCTGTCATTTCTCTAATACATTGCACACCTGAAATGACTAGAACTGGTTAAATCGTGTACTCAAAGGTTTTGCAATTTCCAGACGTAGGACAGTCGGCCGCCCGTTGAAACTATCGTAGAAAGATGCGCGCGATAATTCTGCATCGAATGGTGTATCGCTTATCAAGCGGCCACCTGTCCGCATATCTTAAAATTGCGTTTTATGTGCGAAAAACGATGATTTTTGCGTGTTTTGGGGCGTCTGGGAGGCGAGATAGTGGGGACGGGCAGAGAGCCCCGACGGACAGAGAGCTGCCCTGGGGGCCGCTCGGATGCTGCAGAGAGCGCCACCTGGGCACCCTCGCTGTCTCGCCCCTCTGCGCCGCCCGCACTCCCTCGCCTTGCCAGTCCCAGATTCCACGCAAAATCATCGTTTTCGCCTAAACGCAATTTTTAAGATATGCGGACAGGTGGCCGCTTGATAGCGATACACCATTCGTGCAGAATTATCGCGCGATCTTTCTCGATAGTTTCAACGGGCGGCCAACTGTCCTACGTCTGGAAATTGCAAAACTCTTTTGGTACACGATTTACCATGTTCTGTCATTTTCAGGTGTTGCAATGTATTAGAGAAATGATCAGAACCCTAAAATTCGTTTGTCCAATTTTCGATTTTTCTGTGGTATTTTTCGAGATAATTTTTGGTGGTACGCAACTTTAACAGCCATTTAAACCGAAATCAACATTTTAAATTTTCAAAACTTGCAGCCCTACTTTCGACTACGCTCTTTCAGTGGCGTCAAAACAGGGTCCAAAAAACTGTACCAAGCTAGTTCGGGGACTGGGACTCGCCTTAAATTCCGGTATTTCTGTCTGTAGGATTATGGTATTCGGGATTATGGACGTCGGGATTTTCGAATTCGGGGTCTTGAGATCGGAATGATCGAATTCGGTGTCTTAGTGTTCGGCATTTTGGTATTCCGGATTCTGGACTTTGTCATTTTGAGCGTTCTGTGTTCTGAAGTTCGGAATTTCGGCATTCCGGCTTATAGTAAAAATTCCCTTTATTCCCATAAAACCGGTACGGTAACCCCAGCTACGGTATCACCAAAATTCTCGAGGTATTTTCCCCCCGTTCACCGCTGCCCGGTGCGTGTCGTCGAGATGCACGGCGTGGCTGACCTCCATCCAACGGGTTCCGCGCATTTCGCTTTCGCTCACCCCTGATCGGGCTCGCGGGGGTGTGATCGTAGAAGTTCTGATATATCCGCTCTCGCTGACCCCACGCGATTTTCACCGGAATTACGGGGGACCGAGTTTGCTAGGAAGAGCCGGTAAAAACGGTGTAGCTGAGCGGAAGCGGGTTTCGTTGCAAAAAACCGGTGGAGCGTAGCGGTTTGCGTAAGAGACAAGTTTTTGGGGGCTAAAAATCCCGAAAAATTTCATGGGATACCGAAATTTCGGCAAGCTAAAATGCCGACAGCCAAAATCTCGACAAGCAAAAATTCCGACTGCCAAAGTCCCGAAATAGAACGAAAGAAATTTAGCAAGAAAAATGCCGGCAAGTGAAGAGTTGTGGTCTCAAAAAGCCTTTTTTGCTAATTTGGCACTTTGAATATCGGTATTTTGAAAGACGTCCGCAAAAATCCCGATACTAAAAATTCCGAAAACTCGCAATTAGAGCGTTTAGATATATCGAGCGTGCGCTGTCGATATTTTCGATGTCGGCATTTTAGCCGTCGGCATTTTCAACAATTGCAACAAAAATGCCGACAGCCGAAATTGCGACAAGTTACCCTGCTAGCAGATTAGCGCTTTGTATGTCGGGGATTTGAACGTCGGCCTTTTCGCTGTCGATATTTTTCGTGAATTCTCAGAAAGCCCCACCCAAAATACCGTACCCCATTTATAGGGCTGTAGTTTTAAGTTTGGACCGGGTGGCCCTCGGAAATAATCCCCCCCCCCCGTTTCCCTTTCGAGCAAAACAAGCCCTGCTGCAACCACGAAAAAATCTCGGCGTTGCCCCGATAACCCAGAAGCAGACAATAGCCACCAAAGTAGCACATGACCCCCGCCCTCGGCAGGGGCACCAGTTCAGGCTAGAGTTTTCACTTGCTCACCCGCCAAGCCGGCTTACCGTGCTTCTTTGAGAGCACGTGGGCCGCCCGCCCGGGCAATCTCTGATAACTCCCCCGGGGCCCAGCTTGCCGTTTTCCCAGCGCCGTTTTTCTGAGAACATCGTTCCTAGGGGGATGATCGGCATCGAAATGGCATAGAAATTGGGCTGGACAAGCCGGGGAATTAGGTACTGATTCATTAGCGGGGAGAGAAGCTAGTTGGTAAAACTAACTTCCTTGGTTCAGACTTCAGACTAACTGTACGAAAACTTTCCTCCAAAAACTCGAAAGTTTTTCATAGTCTTAAAAGCTAAAAAAAATTGCTGTTTTGGTAGTTTCCGATCATTAAAAAACAAAAGAACAATTTTAACCAAAAAATTTTCGAAGGTTTTTGAAATTTTGGACCTAAAAATGCACATTTTTAGCAAATTTTGATAGCTTCCATCTCCTCACATGACTTTTTGTGTTTTTATTAGTCTCCAATTAGTAAAAAACAACAAAAATCAAACATTTTTTAAACCAACCAATTCTGAAACTTTTTGACGGTTATTGGCAAAAAAACAAAATTCAGGTTTAATACTTTTACAAACTTTAACTTTCCAGTGTGCTACTACTTCTCGTATGCTCCCTACTCGACGCGTTTCCGGTGTACGAGGATCTTTCCCTCGACTTGGCCGATCCGCCAACGTTACGCCCTCATCATCATCATCATCGGAAGGTTGGTGTTGATCTTAAAAAATTCAAAAATTGTTTCAAAACTTTAACTAAAGAACTAAAATTTATAACCTTTAATTTGCCCTAAAAAACCAAAAACAACCTTGAAAATTGATAAAATTGTCGCTACAGGCTGCATCCGACGCAGCGTCATCTTTCTATTTTTCTATGCAACAAGATCAACCTAAAAAGTGCTCTGATCGAAAAACGCTTGCAAAGGGGGTACGGTAACGCCAGATTTAGCCCGCCCGGTCGGTAATCACTGGCCGGGGTCGCGGGACCTCTTATCACCACCCTCAAGCCGCGAATTCTTGCCCCGGCAGCCTTTCAGGAAAAGAAACATCTAAAAATAAGCTGGGTTAGAATGTTGAGTGAATCTCGAAATCCTCTTGGACTTGCACCTCGCCGAATGTCCATCGACAAATCTGCAAAATCCTCTTTAAATCCGCAATTACTCACTTTCCGGCCAATAAAACAACAAAATAGTGAGGGTGGTGGCGCGGCGCTTATCAGCCTTCGAAGCCGGGGATAAGGTGATATTTCGGCGGCACAAAATCTAGGATGATGATCCGATAGAATGACGCCGCATCAAACAACACTGCAAAAATTAAAAGGCCTAAAACAAACCGCAAAATTTCCAGCATCACCGCCGACACAAGAAACGGAGGAGCCTCAGCTCGAAGGAGGGCGAGGCGAACAACAATCGGCGTGTCATTCAGGTAACCTAAAAAATCTTTAAAAGTATAACCCGAATTTTTCAGATGAAACCCTACTGGCCGTGGCCGTAAACTAATTTAAAAGAAGCTGCCGCTTCATCTCGTCGCTGCCATCAATCGAACGATCTCCCCGGTTGCGGGCCAATTCTTGGTGCTCAATTAACTTATGCCATCGTGCCTTGTCGCCTCCCAGTTTGCATCCGGTGTCTTTTTGCTGCCATCTCATTTAACCCGTCCGACAACAACCATCATTGATCTCCAAATGCCCATCGTCTGCCAAAAACCTGAAATTTATTTCGAAAGACGACTATTGCACACATTGCTAGTTCTGTGACATGATTTGGTGCTAAACCTAAGATATACTCAGGCAATAAATTGTTCCCATTTGTATGTGTAACGCGGCAATTTGAATACCAAAATTTGGGTCTGGGAGCACGTTTCCGGGGTACCTGCTGTCCAAAATCCACCAAAAACAATCATCCTTTTCTACTTGTTTAACGAAATCCAGTTTGTATATATCGGTGAGTCTTAACAGTCTCCAGTCGATTACCTTAGGTTAGTGTCGAAATGCAGAACAAAAAGGAAGCAATCCCGCCGCAGGACTCGGAACCGTATCTTGTTCACGATGTCAAACCTCTTTTCAGAATCGTGCAAAGCAAAATGGCCGCAAAGGCAAGCCCGAAAAATGAACAGAAGGACAGGATGATTGTGGTAAAAGAGCCTAGCCATTCCACACCGCGTTTTAGCGGGACGCTCCTGCATCCGAGCGTTCAGTGAGGACCTCCATTGAAAGAAGCCCTGTTGGTGATTCGCGTAGTATAGCATGCACCAAATTATCCATTCAACGATAACCTAAAACACCCATTTATCTTAGTCGGAAAGCCGAACCGCTCCGCTGATAGAAGCCGAGGTCCGACTCCCCGCCTACACCGAGCAGGAATGGCTTGAGGGGACACCGGCGTACAATTCCACCCTGCTCAACGTCAAGAAGGGCACGGTATCACTACCACGGTTGAACATCACATAACATCCCGGCAGGAGCAACCATTGGTGTTCGCTGCGCCAGAGATTCGGAGGACGGTGGAAGTTATGGAGCCGCTCCAGGCGTCGAAGTCAAAATCCAAAACCGGTAAACTGCTCATCCAGCTTATCAAAAAATTCAGCCGCCGACATCAATGTGGACGCCATCGCCGCGCTGGTTTCCGAAATTGCTCGCACGGTGATCGAGGACAAAGCCAACAACGCCGAGGTTGCTTCAGTCTTCTGCGCTTTCAAGTGTTTGTTTAGATCGAGGTGCTGGTGCGATTCGGAAAGAAGACCTGTTGAAGATCGATTGAATAAATGATATAACAATTTATTTGCGATAACAAAAACAAAAGTTCTTAACGGTTAGACTTGGCGACACGCTCGAGCTCGTCCTTCTTCTTGATGGCGTACGAGTTGGAGCTTCCCTTGGCGGCGTTGATCAGCTCGTCGGCGAGGCATTCGGCAATCGTCTTGATGTTGCGGAAGGCAGATTCGCGGGCACCAGTGCAGAGCAGGTAGATAGCCTAAGTGACAAACTTAGGGGAGAAATAACTACCCTTTCTTTTCGAGGTGGGTGTCCTCGGAAAACAATGTAAAAACAAAATCACAAAAGATAAAACCAACCTGATTCACACGACGTAGAGGAGCCACGTCAACGGCTTGACGTCTGACGGTTCCGGCGCGTCCAATACGGGTCGAATCTTCACGGGGTCCGGAGTTGATCACGGCATTGACGAGCACTTGCACGGGGTTCTAAAATACAAAATTAATGGCCATTAAACTCAATGTTACCTCGCCGGACAGCAGGTGGATGATCTCGAAGGCGTGCTTGACGATGCGCGTGGACATCAGCTTCTTGCCGTTGTTGCGGCCGTGCATCATGAGCGAGTTGGACAGGCGCTCGACGATGTGGCACGAGGCCTTGCGGAAGCGGCGAATTTGGTATCGCTGTGCGTTGTGCGGCGTGTACTTGGCGTTCTTGTCCTTGACGGCGATGTAGTCGACCAAGGAGATGTCAGAGACATTGACCTCCTGGAGGCTCCACTTCCCGAACAATTTCACTTCCGGCAGCTCAACACCGGGGATCTCGAAGGCTGGGGTCTCGTCAACGACGCCCTCAGTTGCCCAATCGTCTTCGGCGGCCATTATGTCGTTACCTGGAAAAGTTGTAATAGATTGGTCACGTAAACAGCGTAATTTGAATTCGAGATCAGAAAATCGTCAATGAATAAGATATCTCCGTGCTGGAGATGCACATAGGATAGGAAATCAATGAGAGGAAAAATAGGGTAATTTTGCGAGGACTTGTGAAAAAAATTTTCGACAGACAGATGGCTAAACAAATCGGAAAATGAAAAATAAGAGTCGAGAAGATGGAAAATGCAAACCCTCCCGCTGCAGACGCTTTCCGCGAAAAGGCCGCCTACGGTGCCCACTCGGGTCTCGCCACGACTACCCTGGCAAGCGCCCAGTGAAAGGCGAGCGCCATTTGACGGCCCTCCCAAATTTTCCAAATTGATTCTCTGTTCAAAGTTCTAACTAAATTGTTGACGATAGTTTTCGATAAATTCTTGCAAAATTACTCTCTGCTGGTACTCTGTGATCTACAAACTTTTCATTACTTTGCGATCAAACTAGATTTCTTGCTAGCCGTTTTTTTGCTCTTCATTTACTTTTTTGGTTCTCTACGCCTCCCAGCTACAACCCTTTTTTCAGCAATGGCTCCGAAGGGAAATCAGGTTATCGCCAGCTCTCATTTGCGCAAGCACTGGCAAACCAGGGTCAGGACCTGGTTCAATCAGCCAGCCCGCAAAGAACGTCGTCGTAATGCCCGTATCGCCAAAGCATCGGCGATCGCGCCCCGACCGGTCTCTGGACTTTTGCGGTAATTTTTTCTCTTTTGTGAAGATGAAGATCGTGGCTGTTCAGTGAATGTATTACCGAAAATTATGCGGGCGAAGCTGTTTTTGCTGGGCAGGAAATATTCGTTTGACCTGCTCATGCGCCTTTGGAAAATATATTTTTGAAGCGAGGTGGCTGCTCGGAAATGTGCATTGATGCAGACAGTCACTCATTTTTTTTGTTTTCAGGCCACAAGTGCGTTGCCCGACCAACCGATACAACAAGAAGGTCCGTCTTGGCCGTGGCTTCACTCTCCAGGAGCTGAAGGAGGCCGGAATCGCCAAGACCCAGGCAAGGACGATCGGCATCGCCGTTGATTACCGACGCATCAACAAGTCGAACGAGGGACTGAAGGTAATCCAGTCTTGCATCTCGAGATTTTTGTAATTCTAGGCCAACGTCGACCGCCTGAAGGAATACCGCGCCAAGCTTATCCTCTTCCCGAAGAAGCTCAACGCTCCCAAGAAGGGAGACAGCAACGTGAGCACCCTGTCCTTTTTGCCATTATATTGATTTTAGGCCGAAGAGCTCAAAGTTGCTGCCCAACTCGCCGGAGACGTCCTTCCCCTCAAGAAACCCGCAGTCAAGACCGAATTCCGATCCGTTACCGAAGCCGAGAGGAAAGTTGAAATCTTCCGTTACCTCCGACAAGTGCGCGCAGACAAGAAGTATAAGGGAAAACGTGAGAAGAAGGCTTCTGATGCCGCTGCCGCTCTCAAGTAAATCTGTTTTTTTGTTTTGTTTTCTATAAATTGTTGAATCGTATTATTTATTCAGAAGTCACATGAGATCATTGTTTGCCGTGAACCTTATCGTAGGTGTCTTTGTTCTTGTATGCTCCAACATATCCGCTGTTGTCGGCTAATTCAACCCGGCCGGCCTTTCCTTTGCCCGTGCCGTCTGTGTTGAAGCGTTCTTTGTGGGCACCGGTGTACTTCGTATGATCGGTCAGACGGCTGTACACTCCATTAGCATCAGACTTCGCGGCGGAATTGAGCGTTGGTGCTTCCAGACGCGCCAGTTTTTCGCAGATCGCGTCGAGCTCCGCCTGAAATGTCTTTTTGGATAGCTAAATCGGGCAATACTTGAGGATCCGTCTTCGCCTGTTTAGCTCTGTCCTCCGCAACAGTAGCTAATACTTTCTTGGTCTCTTCGAAAGTAGCTTTCTTCTTCGGCCTAAATTCTCTTCCTTATTTCGTTGACAAGTCCTACCCAGTCACTTTGCTGAATGCGATCCCGGTCATAGTCGTCGTGATTGCCTTCGGGTCCAGAACGCCGGCATCCTTTAGCCATTTGTCGAAATTTTTACCGGTCATTTCCGTGGCGGTAGCAGCTCCGAATTTGGAAAAAGCTTCCCATCTGAATTTATTCCAATTGTTGTGTTTTTTAATTTGATTTTTATTTTGATGGATCTACAACGTACTTCGGCTTGACATCTTTCGCATCCCATTTGAAGTCGAATTTCGGCTTCTCAGCAGCCATCTGTCCTAAATTTGTTGAATTTTTGTCGGGAGGGAGGGTGTTGCGGAGCGCCAAAGAAAAATCGCGGCGGGATTTCCAGCGCCCTTATCTTTTGTTTGTGTAGAATTTTTGCGCCGGGTTAGTCAGAATCGCCGGAAACCCATGAAAGTTTCGCATTGATCAAAAGCTGGGGGAGTGAACACTGAGATCAGAATCCAGAAAACAAGGCAGTTCAGAAAGCTTCGAACTAAGCATATAATGTACCCCAGGATTGGCGAATTGGGGGAGGAGGAAGGGTGTCGGGCCAAATTTTGGGCGCTGCTCGTTAGTAGCAATTGGGAGAGCCAGCCGTCGAATGAGCCTATATCCCTCGGGGGTTGCAGCTAGAGACAAGCGTGTGGCTGATTGCCACCCGCCTGACCTTATCGAGATCGGGCGGCTCCGGGAAGGATGTCAGATTTCAAAAAGAGCGGATGGAAGTTCCTATTCATAAAAAAGTGTGAGAAGCCCCAAACTGAATATTCAAAGACCTTTAGGAATTTAGGCAATGTTTGCAGAACACCTCGGTCGATGCCAAACTGGCGGACGCACTCCGGAGTACACATAACTGAAGACGGACTCGAATTGGTTTCTGCATAGCCGGGCACCCAAACGAGGCAAGGGCCCCCGGGGAGAGAGAT